GCCTGGCCGTGGAGTGTGGAAACAGTACATGTGCAGTACTCCTACATCCTGCAATTGAAAGTTCACGCAGTGAATGGGAATCAGAAATTTTGTGAAGCATTCCCAATCACCTTCACACTTCACAAGGCGTGAAAATATAATCCCTGGTGTGTGAAAAGGCGCGTAAATATTTTCCCACTTGTGTGAAAAGGCATGAAAATGTTTTCCCACTTGTGTGAAAAGGTGGAATTTTGTTTCCCACTTACGTGTACATGTAACCTGAAAAGGTGCAAACTGTTTTTGCACTTGGGTGGAGGGTGTGAAGATGTTTTTTTCCACTGGTATGAAAAGGTATTATATGGATATGTTTTATCCTTGTGAGGTATTCACATTTTGTTAAATGACGGTGAACTCCCCAGAAAATAAAATAAAAGTGAAATTAATGTTCACAAGTCTGAATAATGTTTTAATACAGTAAAATACATTGTAATTTTACTTTTGTCTTTTAAATGGTGCAGTTGTTTTATTTCTCTTTCCTTTGCTGAAATACTGTACATGTGTAGTAATTACCGCACATGTAGATGGTAGTTTGTCTTCCCAGTAATGTACATGTAAATAATAAACTGTGACAGGATAAAGTTTATCGCTGATTTCCTATTGAGTCCAGTAATTCATACAGTACATATTCAGTTGTGAGACTTACATGTAACTGTTTCATCAATTAGCATTAGTGATATCAATTTTTGTTCTGTTTCCAACAAAAAATGGGTACATGTACGGGTAGGTTGCAAAGTCGTTTTTACTAAAATGCGATGTGTAAGTAAATTCTTTAACATTACAAATCAAAGGATTACATGGACATGTCTCGACCATTTGATGTCCACTGTTTATACATGTAAATGTACCGTATACCTGTACTGTACATGACAAAATCCTTTCAGTAAGCATGACTACATGTATCTATCCAGTATGTACATGTACATGTACTGGTACATTGTCTGAATTCAAATGTAGGAAATGAGCGGCTCAAGAAAATGCACCTCACACCAAGGTATCCAGGGTGCATACAGAGCACAGAGCGCTCACATGCATATCAGTAGAGTTACACGCATACATGTACATGTATATTATGCTAATGCCCACCCACCAGTCCAGTCATTGCTGCCTCATCCAGTGATGATTGCTACACGCATGCCCATTTACGTATGCCCCTTAGTTCCTGCATCCCCCCTGCCAGAGCTCTGTATGCAGCCGCAGCATCGCAAGCTGCGCTGCCTCTCTCTCTCTCTCTCTGCTTCCTGTGCCTGGACGATATTAAGGAAGGCATCTTTGGTGTCTGTGCTTTTTCTATCTCCTCCGCCCGGACTATTAGGGCTTACGACCCCGGCATACCTTACTACAGATCAGGTGTGGTTAGTTAGTGTCGGTAGTCTCTCGGCTGATAAGGTACATGTAGTGTATTCTTGTCTTTGGGGAAGCTCTGAGTGACAGCCTAGCACTGGAATATATATAGTATGTACACAGAGAAAGGATTTGACGGGAGTATAGGATCTGACGGTGCTGCTGTGTGTGTGTGACGGTACATGTATGATATGCCACACCCCATACAGTACCCTGTACGTTGCAGTACTGAGCAGCATCCATGGCCTCTTTTGTGACGGCCGTGCAGCAACCGTACTGTGTGGCAACTGTACGGCCCACAATTACTCTCGCCTGGCCCTGGCGAGACATTTGCAAACGCTGCCCCATATGCCGGTATATCCAGCTGGGCAAGTCAAGGCTTAGTTGGATGGTTTCCAGAGTTACTGGTATATTTTTCTCTGTATGTGGCTGTTTTTTCCGTTTGGAGAACAAGACAGAACCAGGTCATAGGGACAGAGCTGTGTGTGCAGCTGTTGGGTCCCTTTTGTTCATTTGGCATGTCTGCCAAAAGTGTAGGAACAAAAAATAGTTTGCACCTTTGCCAATGGGAAGAGAAAAACCATAATGGATATCTTGCCTCACTAACCTGTAATGTTAAGAGCTTATAGAAGCTGGCTCTTTTGTAGATCTGTTGCATTGTAAAGATACATTTTGCCCAATGTAGGCCCTGCCTTGTATTAAGAAAAAAACTTGATGTGTGCTCTTATTAACTTGGGAAGGTATCCTGCATGTTTTATATACAAATATTACACACATATTCACCGGTACTGTACATTTATTGTTAACAGGTGCAAATTTGTTTGTTTTATTCTCAAATGAAGCCTAGAATACTGATCTTCATCCACAGTGACAACTGAGAATTCTAAAACATGTTTGTAGTACGTGTAGATGTACACATAAATGGAAAGTTTTCTTTTATCAGAAAAACGTCATAAAATATCCTTATCATTCTTGTGTAATAATATAAGGTCTTGGATTTGACACCTGCAACAGCAAAACATGTGAAATATCCTACATGTACTCTCCCCACAAGCTTACAAAGAACCCTCAGTATGCAGTGCTTTTTAAATTTGATTCCGGGAGCAAACTTGAATCCTTGATTGTGATTGGTTAGTACATGCCAACAGACTGCTACACAGACTGGTATCATATCCCATAGGCCTTATCGTATTCTACGTAAGTGTACCAGTGTTTTATCCCATAGGCCTTATCGTATTCTACGTACCGTACATGTCCATGTACCGGTATTACACCATTTGCAAGGGTTTACAAGGGTATCATGTCACTTCATAACACAAAATGATGCAGAGTTGCTCAGTCAGCTGTGAATTTAAAATGATGTGTCAAGTTTGGAAACTGCCGGTACATGTATTGGTCCATGCGTACAGTGTGTACATGTACATTTAGATACATGTACATTTAGATACATGTACATTTAGATACATGTACATGCGCATTTAGATACATGTACATGTGCATTTAGATACATGTACATTTAGATACATGTACATGGAAGCAGTTAGCGGTCTGTTTCACAAGTGGCTACTGTACCTGTACAGCGTGTAACAGTGTCATTAGACCATCTTTGTTACGCTTTACGGTACATGTACATGTACGGTAGTTACGCATAATTGGTTTGAGCCCTAATGCTTGTTCTTTGAAAGACTCACCGTATTACTATTTATGTGTCTGGTACTTTTACTGGTACGCATACATGTACATGTACATAAATAAACTGAACCAACCGACAGAGTATAAATAAGTGTACATGTACATGTACAGTACCGGTACCTGCATGATGATTTCTGATTCATGCTTGTAGAAATCTACCTGTACATTTACATGTAATTGAGTATTGCTGCATCCAAATCCTTTGTTACCGTTGAAGTTGCCAAGGGCTACATGTTCAGTTTCCATCCAGTTTGTTGCTGTTGGCTGTGGCCATGTGCTGCACCTGTATCTGGTACAGTACACATGTACATGTACCACTATTGCAACTTATGGGTACTTAATGGTACTCATATGGGCTACATGTACAATGTACATGTACATACATGTACAATATACATGTACATACATGTACAATGTACATGTACTAGTACACATATACATGCAGCATTTCAGGAATACTGGTTTTCTTCCAGTGTGTGAAATATAAAACCACACCCCCAATCTCATGCCCTGACTGTTGAATTCCTGCTTCAAACAGCGCTTGCCTGCTATTTAGTGCTAAAAATAAGTGTAAATGGGTTTTGCAATGCGTACATGCCTTGTGTACGGCATGTACGGCTACTGGCTGTAGTCGTTCCAACTGACTTTCAAGTGTCGCTTGCCTAGAACCAGTAACTTAAGTCCCTGTCAGGAATGTACCTTTAAAGCTGCATTTCCAGAATGACGTTAAACACATACATGTGTGAACCAGAGGGATCAGAAAAGGTTTCTAACCACTAATCCCCAGTCTTGTTGATGGAACTGTATAAGTGCAGCCTGTGTGCAATCGTATGGAAAAGCTCCAACAAACCGAAGGGATTTCTTGGATTTTATTTTTCGTTTTGTTTGAGGAGTGTAGGTTTGAGCTTACTGCAAGGAATTTGGGCTTAAAACATACAGTACATGTACATGTACAAGTACTACATGTACCGGGATCTTGAACTATCATAGGGAAGTTATTTGTCTCATGTATGTACATGGAGAGTGCGTACATGTACCTGTACATTTTTTGGTCCATCAATCAGTCATCTGTCATGTCTGTTTTTGTTTTGAGAGGTCTAGATGGGTTTTATTTGTGTGTTTGCACAGAGGAATGGGGGTCATGTCTCTGTTGATGCTTGCCTGCATTGTTCATTACATATGCTATTGAGTAATTCCTCTCTTAGGAGACAATGTATTGATACCTTAGGTTGCAGTGTTTGTGCAGTGATCAATGGAATTGATTGGTCTGGGATATAATGTATTCTTAGATGTCCATTCCATTCATGCCTGGGTGCATTGATCTGGTTGTCCACAGGCCTAAAGGGCACTCACTGTTTATTAATCATTGCGTCACTTGAAAAAGTCTTCAATGTACTTGAAGCAGCTCAGTAGAGTAAACTCTATAGACCCATTTTGACCCGAGGCTACATGTGCATGTAAGTGTAATTCAATTTGTTCAAGCAGTTTTTTCCTTGTGCACATCTTTATCATGTGCATAGCAATGTACATGTCTCTGTATTTATTGTCTTAATTGAGATGAATAGAATTAAAAATACAATGTACATGTACATTGTAGCATCTTACTACAAGTACATGTACATGTGCTGTATGTAATTTTAGAAGTCTCGAGCTCAGACACACAAGCGCCCGAAGGAAAGTAATGATTACAAGCAGTCCACCGAAATATTCAACACGTCTTTACCACAGGAGGGGTGCACATTTACATGTACATGTATGTGCCTGTTAATTTGATTAGGCCCTTCAAATGTGTGTAAAGCTGTTTGCCGTAGATGTCCGCTAAGTTGATACTGCCCACTTGTTGACGGAAATAAATTTATGAATTCATGAAATACTGCATACTTTCCAATCATTTATTCCATGTTGTTTGTTTTTTCTTTCTTACACAGGTTTGTGGGTGGACAAAACAACACAATGGACAGGAGACACTTACTTAGTGTTGCTGTCTGCCTCCTTGGCTTGTCAACTATTTCGCTTGCACAACGTAAGTTTTTAATCCTGGGAAATTTTTAATGAACGTGTACATAAATCAGTTATGTAGAGTTACATGTACTTCATGCATTTTCAGGGAATATCACATGGATAAGTACATGTACAGTACATGTATAAACAGGTTGTTCTCTTTTACAGTTAGATTGGTCAGTGATATACAAGTGGATTGGTTTGTGTTGTCTGGTTTTCCTTGGTTTTGTGTGGGTTTTTGTTGTTTTTAGAATAGTGTTGTTCACAAGTTGTAAATGATTATAATTATGTAATGTAAATGTATGTTTACATCATGCATAGGACCAGCATTTTAATTGGTACGATCACTTTAACAGCTACCGGTACATGTAAGGTATTATTTTTGTTCCTGGCATGTTTGTTTGATTTGGTGTCAGAGATGAACCATTAAGAGATTTGTCAAAGTGAACAGCTTACCTAAAAATAATACATACAGTATATGCTCTAAAAACCTGCCAGCAGAGGTAAGGAAAAACAACGGGATAAAAGGTTAGCAGTGGGAGGAATCTGCAAGTACATAACATGTTATCTTCAGCCTCGGGCGTCACTGCTACAGGTCACAGGGCAACTTGACGAATTCCCTCAGCAATCCAAATCTCATGGCTCAACCCCCTTTTTAGACTTGCATGCATACGGTATGTCACCATGCAGTGCAGTGTGGGTGCCTCTTGAGGGGTTTCAGTCATTTGGGGGAGGGGGGGAGTGCTCAAGATTTTAGGCATTCATCACACGCACATACAAACTCTCTTACCGGGACATATACAGGACACTGTTGATATGAAAGTGTTAAATGTACATTTGAAACAGTTTCAATGTTAATCAGAAATTTCATGCACTGTAGCATTTCAATTTAAACCAAGACATTAGTCAGTTGATTGCCAAAATCTTCCCCGGGCTGATATATTGAAATATCAAAGTCAGTAAACTGTTCACAGTGTCACAGATGTGCTGATCATGAGACAAGTTTGATCTAATACTAAAACATCATACATGCACATACGCAGGTCCAAGTTTTTAACATTGTGAGACAAAAAGAATTACTTTCATTTCAGTAATGCATGGTATTTTGGTTAGGTTTTGTTCACTTTAGCGCAAACCAGAACCGAGGGAGTTGGGGGTACATGCAAATTAAAATACCTTTTGATGGAAGCTGAAACAAGTGGAGTGTTTTCAACAAGGAAACTACAGCACATGGATTTTGTATCTGGGCCTAGAAAGGTGGTCCAACCAGGATGATGTAGTGGACCAGTCTTGGCCCTTATACAGTACAGTACCTGTACTGTGTTGACAATGGGCTGTCTGGACTTGGTTCCCTCATTTGATTTCAGTTGCTGCTTCTACATGTAAGTTCTACCATAGAGCAAGTAGAATGCATGCTCCAGTATGGGATTAATTAAATTCCACTGATAATTCAACTGCTTATTTCCTCCTAAAGCCGTTAAAACCGTTATGTACATTTGGTAGAGAAGGTACTGAGTTAAAGTACCATCATAATGGTACACATATACATGTGTGTAATTCTGTACACTTGGCTTTTTTTGCTCCAAAGAAGCCAGCGAGAGATTCAGTAAGTCCAGCACTTTTATTGGAACTATTTCTGTCACTTTTTGATTCATGTAGAATTGGGACAACAATACGTACTGTAATTCACATTCACATACATGTAGTGGATATTGAACTTATTTACCTCATTACATTTACATGTACCATTATTTATGTGTTTACTGGTTTGCTTTCAGTTTATTTTAAATTGTGCATTGAATGAAAAGTCAAACCTTTTAACTCTAAAAATTAGCACTTTTAATTTTTATTCCATGTACATGTAACTAAAATTTACACTCATGCACATTTAATATGTGAAGAATGCAAAATCTATTAAGTTTTGTCACACTTGGTATGTGCTTCTATCCATGTCGTGTTATTTTTTTGTGGCATGACTTGTACTTGTTGACATGTAAAGATGCATCACAGGTCTGTTGGAATTGTGTGTACGGTGCATAATGATGAAGTGCATGCTGGCCAGTCTTACATGTGTATATGTTAGTAGGCCCAACTGTACTGGTAAATTGTACGGGTACCGTGTACGTGTACCGTGTGCGTGCACATTATGTAGGGGTAGTCCATGTATATACGCGTACCGGTAGCCTTGGATTATATAAACGACGGTGGAAACAACTCTGCCCACCAACTTGTATTGGAATTTTTTTCCATCTACATTTTGCAGAAGTGAAGAATGAAGGATACATAAAGTGTTGAATTACGTAGAGTACATGTTTGCGTTTATATTCCCACACAAATGTTTCATGCCAACTTGTAACGCTTTTGGGGTGAAAACTGCCTTTTTTATTTTATTGGAAATGGTGTAAAAGAAAACATGGCAGATGGTGCACTGTGTACTTAAAATGTACATGTACAATGTTATACGTACTCGTACATAGGAATGGAGATTAATATGAATCCAGTGTGTCAGTGCTGGGATTCAGTGGGAATGGAAGCACTATAATGGAACCCTTTAAGATGGAGGCAGCAGGCCTTGCATCTTGGTCTTTGGAGGAGCAATACAGGAGAATGCTCCATGGTGACATGTCCATGGTACAGTAGATGCCTACTGATTCCTGTGCATGTGGCAGAAGTACAATACGTGTGCGTTTTTACCTTACTGATCAGCGGAAAACAGCATATCTTGTCCGGGACTTACACGTACACGTAGTATGCACAATGGCAGTACCATTAATATCAGCCATATCTTGCCCTCTTTCCACATTTTTAGTACATGAATACACCTGCAGAAGACGGCATTTGATGATGTCTCTGCAGTGAGAGAAAATACTAAGGGTACAAAATCAGGACCCTTGTTTTGCTGAGTAAAATACAATGCAGCAAAAGTTGTGTATTGATACGTGTCGAGTTATGCACACACACCCGTATACATGTATGCTGTCACTTGCACCAAGAAGTGATGTTTTTGGCGCAATCACAATGTGACACACCATCTATAGACTTTGTACTCCTGATGCAAAGATTCGTGGTGCATCAACAGTTCTTGATACAGTTGATGACGTATCAATTACCGGTATGTGGACATCAATTTAAGGGGTTGGCACTTGGGATGGTAATCAGATTTCAACCAAATGAGGGATGTCGTGGTCTTTGTTCTCAAAATCTTCTGCCCAAAGCTTTTCCCATCTCCCTCTTTTACTCTCTTTCTTAGGATAATGTTGTCTTCAGCTGGCACTTCAAGCAAACTTTGTTCCAATGGCAAGAGCTAACAACTCCTAAATAACAATAACCGATTGCAAAATACTAACCCAAAGCCCAAGCTGCACTCCGCACATCAACCCTCCCATACCAAGGGATTCAGGGAAATTGATGGCATTAGTGTACATTATTTGGCTAGATTAGTGTGGTCTGCTTGTATTGAGTACATGTAATTAATCTGGTAGGCAAATGGACATGCAATTTATGAATTACGAATGCAGGTGTTTTTTCAGCTGCAGAAGGAAACTGCTGGCCTAGCTACATGTACGGTATAAGGATAATTTCCGGTGCACATACACTGTACATGAACAGTACCTGCATGCACGCACGCGTCAAGATGAAAAATGCGCGTGTGAATGCGTTGCCACCGCAGTTATGGCATCTAATTGGATTAGTCTATACAGTTAATTATACATGTAAATTTACAGATTCTACTCCCAAACAAACATTGACACCTTTCTGTACCAATTAGTATGTGTATGGCCTTCTATACTGTTGCAAAAATGCCACGTGCATCTTATGTATACATGTACTGTACATCATGTACATGTACATGTATGCAGTATATCCCACATACTGTACCTGTACGTATTGGCCTACCAGCACATGTGTGGTACCAGACACACATGCCTAATAAAAGACTTTCAGGAGGATGAGCATGCAGGTACCGGTAGTGTGCAGCATTGGAACAGTCTTGTGGCTTCCTCCAGAAGCATCGTAGATTGCATGCACGAACCAACTTCATCTGAGAATGATTCTTTAATGTCGTTTTATTTTAGTTGCTTTTAGTTTTTTTTAATGTTGTCATTTTTCCTTTTCCTACATCCAATGGCCATGTACCAGTATGCACATGTAACACCGTTGTCTGTTCAGTGACGACTCTTTGTCAGCACTGTAGCACCGGTAGTTAGTGGTTCATTTTTAATGGTTTTACATTTAGATTTTTCTCTTTCTTTGCACATTTTACAGAGTTAAATAGTGTTACATCAGGTACAGTGTAACTGGCGATAGTTCAGATGGTTTATATTGCACGTGTAAATCCCCCACACACACACATAAAAGTGTGTATTTGCCTGCAATTGGGGACCCCCTGTTGTTCCTCTTTTGTTTGTACTTTAACTTTTTTACTAGACCACCCATATGTTTTGTACACAGTTGTCAATCGGGGACCCTCCGTCAATCGGGGACCTTATTGTTCTCTATTGTTCAGGGTCCCCAATTGAATGCAGAAACAAACTCACACTCACAGATTTGTCCCCTCTAGAGGCTGAAAAAACTGATGGATCACCACAACATAGCCGTAGATGATTGCTATAGAGTACGTGTACATGCTCATGTACTGTACCACGGTACAAATAGACGTACATGGGATTATTGTCAGTTGCAACATCTTGCCTTGTTTAGCAGTAGGATTTGGATCAAAATTCAAGTTGACCACACCATCAAAACAACATCCCAAATTTAAAGAAATTCAAGGGACTGTCAGTGTCAGTACCAGTTCTTACAAGTACAATTACATGTAAGTTCAAAGGAAAACCTTTTTTCTTTGGTCTGTTGCCAAGTTTTGGACGGTATAAAGAAAAACATTAAAAATTGTGACAAAAAGGAAAAAGAGGGCAAAGAAATGAAACCTGTATTACATGTACCATTAGGCTCTGGCCCATTCCATTCCTGTTCATGGCAGTATTATGACTCATGTTCGTGACAGCCTATTAAAAAAAATCAATAAACCATTGTGCACGCAGATATAATGACACATTACTTTTACTGTTCACACCATATGCACACAGTGCTTTCAGTCTAAATGATAGAGTTCAGTCAGGAACTGTTAACATTCATCTGTGTAAAACACTGGTAGATAGATATAGCTGTAAATGTAGTTTTTAAGGCGAGCGGTTTTTGTAAGTTGGTGTTCAGATTTTTTTAAGGCAAATTTTAGAGGATGGAAAAAACAAAGTATTTTCTAGGGTCTCAAGAAAAACAAATAAGGGTCTTCAAGTTGGAGGGAAGGATGGTGCTAGCAGCTGAGGACTGGGGATTTCGATGTCGGCCGGACAGCAGAGCCCCCCAATTTTTTTTTTTTTAACACTTGCATTGATACATTGTTGGTCTGCGGATCGAAGGCTTCTCAAAATAATTTTTTTCTCCTGTTCTGAATCCAAAAGGTTGGTGGATCCGAGCACCAACTTAGAAAATACTCTCGCCTAATGTTTGCAATACATGTAGTCTTCCATGTACTGTACATGTTGGTGCTGGTAGTGTTATTTTACAATGTATCCCATGACAGATTCTGAATGCATTGTGAGTTGTACAACTGGTGTCATTTTGCTTTTAGTTTCAATGATGATCTTTCCTTTTTCTCTTTTTGCTTCGCTTTCTTGATGTCTCTTTGCACCTTGCTTGTTTTTACTTTCTTTGCTTGTTGTCATGCATGCACGTTGTAGAAGATGCTGCTGCCACAGCCGAAACACAAGACTCAACCAATGGGAATCCTCCGGGTAACGTTACGCTGTCATTAGAACTAACGCAGTCTCCTCAAGGCACTAAATATGGTCCCTTAGAATCCTTCCTTTCACACTGGGCCTGTCAGAATTACGTAAACTTAATTTGCAATGCTTGCAACTCTCCCTCGGCAAACAGTCGTTCCTGCCCCCTTGAAACTTCAGTCCTAGAGTTGAGACCTTCTCAGCATCCCAAGCAGTAACAGTGAAAAGTGAATAACTTAAGAAGTTCAGATGAATTCGAAACTGGGTCAATTGTGGTGTTGATGTGAGTCCTTGTCCCTGCCCAAACTTGACTCCGATCACTAGAATACATAGACATACACATGTACAGGGTATTTTTGTCAGAGATCATAATGATCTTAATCAGTACCTGATGAGCAGTCTGTTTGATTTGTGATCAGTGGCCAGTTTTCATAGAGTTGCTTAAGCACGGAATTTGCTTAAGTGCAAAAAAACTTAATAAACAAAGGTTACCAGCTCAAACTCTATGTGATTGTCAGGCTAACCAAAAGACAGGTACAGTAAATACCATTCCAAAACAATATACATCACAAGAAGTTTTGGCTGGTAACCTGATTTGTCAAGGAAGGTTTTTTCACATTTAAACAAATTTTTTGCTTAAGCAACACTATGAAAACAGTTGCTGTTCCAGTTTTGACTTTGAGCATGGCCTAAGACTCACTCTGACCCTAGTTGCTAACCAACGTACACAATGTACACTACATGTACATGTACCTGTGCTAAACTTGCATATGTATATGTACACTGTACATGTACTTTTCCCAATGTGTTCTGTGAACAAAGAGCTGTAGAGGTTGGCATTTATTGAAGTAGTGCAAACTTTGTACGGTCTACATGTACAGTAAGATAAAAAGTTTTATGGACAATTTTTTGGTTGGAGTTAGAGCAAAAAGAAGAGGAACAGATACGAAAACCAACAAAATTCCAGCTTGAAAGGATGTTCACAATGCAAGAAAAACAAGCATGTTCACTGAGGTTTCTTAACAGGTGCATGCAAACAAAGGAATACATGTCCACACTAGGTACATGCGGGCAATGGAAACAGATCTGCTCCAACTGTACATGTATGTTTATGTGCGCAGTACTTAAAATTGGGATCATTATTACAATATTGCACCTGTATTAAAAGTGTGCAGGTGTACACATGATGAATGGACCAGCAGCCAGTGCTTAGTCCATGCCAGACAGGAGCCCTGTTTTCCAGTTTTTTTGAACTTGAGTGGGATTCAAGAGCAGTTTTATTCCTGTTATTGCATGGGACTGGGACAAAGAGGGGAGGCCGGCACCGTCCCTCCTCCTAGCTAACAGATGTACATGTATACATGTACATGTATACATGTACATGTATACATGTACATGTATACTCTCCAGCCCTCCCTTTGTTTTCCCTGACCTGTACCGTTGACCTCTTTTAAAGATGGCCCACCCTTATATCCAAGTGCCATGTTTGCTGCCTTGCTGGTAACTGTCATTTCTTGCCTTAAAATTCAGTATGTAGCTTTCCTGGTTTCTGTTTTTGAAACCTTGTTCTCTGCTCGTTAATTAACACACACGTTCTCTTTTTTCATGTGCCACCGTGAGATATTGCGTACAATGTAGTAGTCCTTGGGACAGTTTCACCGGACTGCAGGCTTAAAACCCAGCAAAAAATTGTGCGAACCCTTGGAAGCAAATTTTTTTGCAAACCTTTTTGAGTGCCTGAGGAAGTCTGTTCCTCTTTCTCGGCTTTGAAACAACTGCCTTACGAAGTTGCCTTTAGCCTGCGCGTCGTTACTATAACACTTGCTTTGTGAAATTGGCCAGGAATCTTCAGAAAGTTGCCGGTGTTGCAGCACCGTGAGGCTGGGCCTGGATGGTGCTGAAACATGTAAAGGCTTCTCACTCACCTGAACACTTTGATTCTTGACTCAAAAAGCGGGGAGCCACAGTTCTCCTGAAAACTGTGGCACTGAAACCTTCCCTGTGATGCTTGCCGGGGTAAATCGTTGTTGTGCTTAAGCGCTGGGTTTGATCTACTAGTAATGTGTAAATATGTGTACATGTACCTGTGTAAATGTACATGTTAATCTGTGAATTTGTGAAGAATGTGCCAGTTGTTGGTCGTCTGTTGTGGCACACGTTGAGGTGTGTGCATATGTACAGTGTACATAACACATTTTGTTGACACATCTGCTTGGCCATTTATGGATCATTTCAAGTATGGAATTAAGGGACCGTACATGTACTTAATTACACACCTGCACATGTAAAAGTATGGGACTGTCGGTATGCTTACACTCAAGAAGGACATGTTTTACAGTATGCGCATGATGACAAGCATAGTGTTAACAAATGGGTTAGCTACATGTACATGTGCACGCACTTGTGAATTTTCGTTGTGTTGGAACTATATATGTACATGTACATGTACAGTGCCTAGAAGGAAATATGCACACGTCCAGTTTGGACGCGTGAAAGTTGGTCACCGTTGCAAAACCTGTGTTTGCTCAGTGTTGTTCAGTGATGTTGCGTCTCGAGAAGTGTTGAAGTTGTGTTGTTTCTGCATCTGATGCATTTTGAAAAATGTCAAACAGTGATTGCCTTGTAGCATTTTGAAGACATTTCATAATTAGGGAGAATGAACATAGCCATTGTAACCACCATTTATTACATGTATAGATGAACCTCCTGCAAGTCCTGATAACAACCACTCGCATATCTGCTCTGTTCACATTTATGGCCCTGCAGCAGAGAAAAATGCATCCCTTGCCTGCAGAGAGTCAGGGAAGGAGGGTGCTAATCATCAATACCCATCAGTTCCTGGTGTTTTGCAAGCCAGTGGACATAGTGGATGTGCTTAGCAGTTGTTTAATTGAACCAGTGAAAATGTACCTCTTGAATATGAACACATTTGCACCTACACCTGTACATGTACTGCTGTGTTTACGTGCAATGACTATGTCGCCAACTGGACTATGAGCAGAGATGTGGCAAAGAAACACATATAGGAAATTTTGACCGTAATTATGCCGAACCCACCTCACCCATAATGCACGTTAACAATACCAGTGCAGTGCACTTGGCAGCGATTGCAGAATCATGAACTGACCTGAGCTCTTTCTTTGGCTGACTGTCTGTAGGCACTTCACCCCCAAAGATCACAAAGCAATCCCCCTCCTACTTTGTGGTCTTACCGAAGCAGCCTGTGTCCATTGAATGTGAGGCTTCAGGGACTCCAGCGCCTGGGTGAGTATGCTACTGGTAGTTTGGCAGTGCTGAAGAGGCTATGATTACAACAGATTACTGGACACAGGCTGTCTGGAGCACTGGACAGGGGCTGTCCGGAGCACTGGACACGGGCTGTCCAGATATACATGCAATGCTGCACATGTGTGCCTGTCCCATGGATTGATTTGTTGAAAAGACTTGCAAGGTCTGTGAGATGAATTTTTTTTCTTGGACACAATTTGTGAAGATCTTCATTATCCTTTTTATATGAAGACTATTTGACATCCTATTTGGTTTACACGGAATTGTGTTTGAAAAATGCACTTTAAGTGTTAGAAGTTGTCCAAGCTTTTTTGGACGAGTGAGGTCACTGTTGCTTTGATGTGATCTGGGGAAGACACTTTGCAATTAACAGGATTTTATGTTCACAATTGAACCAAAATCACAGTTTTTGGAAATCAGCATCTGCATGAAAAACAAAAAGGTGACAAAATATATTTGTTAAAATGGTAAAAAACAAAATTGCAATTAGGGTTAATTTCAAACATAAAGGTGTATTTTCAAAAGTTGAAGTAAAAGAATTGCATTGCTTGGACCCTTTCCATGAGGGGAATATGGAGTCTGGTACTGGTGCCAGCAGTGTTGCTAAGGACATGAGAATGTGGAAGAAACGTGTAACCAGATTTAGTCTGTTTTTGGAAGGAGAAATCTAGGCATTTCTAGACTACTGACATTTCCAATTTTGATAGCTCAAGAAGTATCGAAAAATTACAGGTATACATGACCAGGAAATTGTTTTTCTTTGATAAAGGTTTTGTATCGAATGTCAACTCGGGTGTTATCAGCGTTTCCTGTGAATTATTTCCATCCATATTGTACCCCCGAAACACAGGTACTACTGGAAAAAAGATGGTGCGGTTTTGAGCATGACGGGACTGTACTCCATGGATGGAGGCAACCTGGTGGTACGGCGGCCGAGCGAGCTCACCAATGGCATTTACAGATGCTTTGCCAACAATACGTACGGCACGGCCATGTCTGAGAAGATCGAATTCGTCATAGCTTGTAAGTTTTGACCCTCACTGAGCTGTCCTCACTAAAAGTACATGCAGAAGCTGACAGCCAGGTCAACCCTAACCCTCCTCACTCCTTCAAAATCCGTCAGGCGGTTTTGGAGGATTTTGGAGGATTGAGGGTGAATGGCAAAAGTGCATGGCTTATTGCGAAGGATGCCATGCATGAAGGTTGTGGGTTAGACCATGTGTTGTTTTTGCTGAGTTGTGCATAAATGCAGCCCAATATTTTTTGGGAATCAACTGCACTGCTCAAGAATGCCGTCCACACTGCCTCAGCACAGTGACAGGAATTGCCAGAGGATTTTGAAGGATTGAGGCAGTAGGCACACTTCCAAGTAGCATTTTCAAGAAATTTTTTGAGGATTTCGGGGATTAAGGGCAAATCCAATTTAGTCACCCCCCAAATTGGAGGATTCTAGAGGGTCCCTAGCAAAATGGCCAAGGGAGTCAGGGTCAATGGTAAAGGTCCCCTCTGCTTAGGATATAAAATAAGCATGCACGTGTAGTTCAAGGTTCTTTCTCTCAATTCAAGGTTCACTTTAATTCCTGTCCCTTTTAACTCTGACATTGTTCAATTCCCTTTTTGCAGTCACGTGTACTTTACTTTTCTCTCAACAAGTTTTGATTTTCTTTGGAATAGTTCAAATACAGTAAAACGTTAATAAGTCAATCCCGGATAAGTCGACAGTCTGCTTGTCTCGAAGTGAAGCTTCATTCCCACTGAAGGAATAGGCATTTGCATATATGTACAAAAATACTTGTAAGCCGAATTACCAGTGGCCAAAACTGTGCTTAAGTCGAAGTTTTTGTGATGCTGATCGAAAAACTGCTGCCAAATCCCTTCAAATAGTACAAACACAGGACCATGAAAACATGTTGTGAGTCATCGCTGCCAAGCACACTTTTCTTTTCACCCTTGATCCGCTTGCGTAGCAGGCATGCAGCGCAGCGTAGCGTGCTTCAAACATGTATAAACCATGCCACACCGCGACCACAAGAAATCCCAGCTTTCAGATTAGCCTGATTACTGCTGCAATACCCATGCCCGGACAAACCGATCACTGCCTTTTACAGTGGTCATGAGACCACCGTAAGTGATGTGAGAAAGCCCATTTGAAAGCAAACCTGAATTCTGCAGCACACATCACGTTCAGGCCTCGAATTTCATTGCTTTTAGGGCACTGCCATTTGGCATTGGTGGATTGGCTGAAATAAAGGGCACTTATGCCAATCGTGAGGGTAGGAATGCCATCAACGTACCAAAGTTCTCGGCATTAATTATGTCATCCCGATATATCCTTGAAAGTGTACTTTCTAAATGAGGCATACGTGGTATATCGATATTGCATGAAAATCAATATTAAGGCCTATGAAAAAGTAGGATACGCATTACCGGTACCTGTATACCTGAACATTTTTTGATTAGTGATGAACCAGCAGCTGAGTGTTGAAAGGCTTCAGCCCGTTTTGACTGCAACCATTCATTCCTCAGCATTTTGCTTACCACAAAAACAACAATGTTCCGGTACGTGAGAATCAGGGTAGTTCCGATCGATGTCATGTATGTACAGTTAGGATTGTGCGCGGTGCGTGGCACTAAACTGCAAACACGACATGGCAGTGCTAGTTAAAATATTGCCGTGACCATACAGTTGTCCCATGTGCATGAAAATCGTGAAGCTCTCGATGTACCGGTACCGTTAATGGATACACATTGATGAGCATTTAGTTCTAGACTAACATGATTGCATGGTACATTAAAATGCTTGGCTTGGGCATGCGCTGTTATGCGGGCCGGGCCGCGGCGGGCTGAGTGTACGATATCCCTACATACAGTTCATGCACGCACGCCCTGTATATGCATGCATGCCATGCATTAGGTAGGTGCGTCGTTCCGGTGGAATGTAAACGATTATGGAATGATTTGTGTGTCACTTTCCTTGTAGCTTGGTGAATGGGGGCAGCTGATATGCACGTGTAGGGCACTACGTCCAAGAGAAAAAGAGGGCACTGCCATCTTGGCTGTGAAACACGATCACTTTTTGGCTAAATGGGAGGGCAGGGCAGGACAGGGCTGTCGTGTCCATCAGGACAGTCAAGGCCTGCACATTGTAGACCCGATCGGTGAAAAGACCAAAGATTTCCCACACCAAGATATAGCTTTAATGTAATGTATTGTTGACTTATTGGTAGAAATGAAATACTTCAGACATAGCAATGAAAAATCTTAGCGAAATGATAGATTTGCAAAAAAAATTTCCATGAGAATGAATAAAAGCAGAAAATAGCCACCAAAATGATCCCACCATGGAGCAAGTTTGGAACAACTACCTGGTACATGTATGTCTACCTCTGTGTGTAGGTGTATTGGCCCCATGGCTGTGAGACTTTCTTGAACTCAAAGTCTGGATAACTCAAAATTTTATTTTTATTCCCTTGAACTTGGAGTTATCAAGGTTTTACTGGACATAGTGCAGCTTTAAAATTCCTGTCATTAGGCTGACTTGGTGTCATTTGCTTGGCTGATTCACTCATGCTGATGTGATATATTTTAGGTGTGCTGTAAGTATGAACAAAAGGCTCACTGAGTCTTTATTTACAGTCTGGTTGCATTCTTCCTTCTTGCCCTGCAGTTGCTGATGGATTTAAAGACAGCGAGTCCACCACCTTCACCTTTGATGAGGGCCAGCTGGCCACCATCCCCTGCAACCAGAAAGAGAGCGTGCCGGCGCCTTCAGTCTTCTGGACAGACGATGCCAACCCAGGCAACAAGATCCCCTTGGACAACCGCGTCAGCATAGACCCTGACTTCAACCTGCGCTTCTCCAACATCAGGGTGTCGGACACCGGCAACTACCAGTGCAACGTCAAGAATGACAAGCTGCGTGTTCAGCTTCTGTCTCCCATCAAGGAGATTGTGGTCAGATCAGGTATTGCCATCTGAAGGGGAACTTTGGGTTCGTCTGATACATGTATGTGCATCTACTGAAAATCCCGAAAAATCTACTCGCAGAAAATGAGAAAATGGGGTTGTCCACTTTTTGACGTTCCATAGATATGTACATTATAGATGTGGCCATGATTTCAGGCCAAATATTGAGCATCACTCCGGGACCACTTTTGTACCAGTTATCCTGCAGTTAAACATTCCCTGGTCAATATTTATTGACGGTGTCACTCTCACACAAAAAGTACCGACATTGGTCATGCCTGTTCCAAACCTAAAGGTACATCTGCTAACCTTGTTTCAGGATTGTGTCGTTTGACCTTTTTGCCCGCTTCACACTGCAAAACTGACAAGGCCACAGCAGGAACGATCGCTAACTGTTTTGTGAAGTGTTTCTTATGGTTCCCTCTGAAAGCATGGCTCTTGATGACAAAGAGACATCTGGTGAAGACAGTAGGCAGCTTCTGAAATCACACTCAAGAGAGAAGTATGACGTCATTTGTGGGCAACAGTGTAAAAAAAAACCAGTAGCTTCTACGACGAAAGACACAAGTCACATGAAAGCTAAATTTACCTGTCTTGATCCTTACCACTGGGATTTGTTCCTATTTTTTTTGTTCGCTTTCCTCTCCTTAGTTGAGAACGTTGAAGGCAGGCCCGCCACCTTGGTCTACACTCCCCCAGCCTCCGTGGAGGCTTTCCGTACCGAAAAGCTTCGCTTAAAATGCATAGCTGAAGGATTGTAAGTGACAACTGTTAGTTTTCCCTGAGGAACTCCTCCTGTTGCATTTTTTCCCCTCTGTCACATTTAAGGCAGAGGGTGCTTGGTAAAAGACGAGGGGGGGGAGGACTTGACTTGGCCATTGTCCAAAGCTTACATTAGCTCCCTTCTAATGTTGGGCAGTTTGACTGTGGCTAAGAATGGAGCCGCATTAAGTAGACAGGTTCTTAAAGTTGGGAACTCAGTTCGAGAAAGTTGAAGCCTGAAGCCACAGTTAAGGGGTCAAAGCCAAGGTTTAGAAACCCTCAAGCTTTTTCACAAGTTAGTCATGAGTCATGAACAAGCCAATCAAATGAGCTTTGACTAAAGATTTCTTTCTACACTTTTCCTTCTCTTGTGAATTGACTGCTGATGTACTTGGTACTAGAGTCGGAACTGGTCTCAAAAACAGCACCTCTTGCTTGGTGTTACGAAATTGAAGCCTCTCATCATTGCCATGCTTGAATGAGAATCACTTTGTTCTCCAGTCCGACGCCAACCATCACCTGGAACAAGGAAGGTGAGACACTGCCGGAGGATCGCACGTCGTACGAGAGCTACGGCCAGGAACTGGTCATCAGTGATGTGGTCCAAACAGACGTCGGCTCCTACAAGTGTACGGCTGAGAACGGAGCTGGAACACCCACCTCCTTCACAACGACTGTCACTGTACAGTGTAAGTGCCAAGGAGGTCTTGTTTGTCCGTTGCCTTTGTCATGAAAACTCTGCATGTGTTAAAACTGATTTATTTAAAACAGTTGCATCGTGGGATGGGAGGCCGAGTGGAATGGATCGTCTATCTCTCTCCAAAATTGCATAAATAGGAAATATTCAAATTGGAAATATTGTTTTGCACAAAGCCTGAACAAAAGCCTGCATCATGGGAGAAAATTTTGAACAAATACCTTCTTGAAGAAATCCTCTTATCTCTAGTAAGTTCAGAAATTTGACAGTGCCAATTTGACAGGACAGTGACAGTGCCATGAAACTTCTCATTTGGTAGTGTAGGACTCCTGCTTTTGCCTTGCAGTAGTGCTGTGAATTGGAACGAGTACTGGTAATTCAGTGACACATGATCAACAATCCACCAATCAGATGACAGGGATTTGTGCAGCCATAAGAAATCCTGTTTGTTTTGGGTAACATGCAGTTGCAAAGGCAAGAGGGAAATCGCTTGAAACCATCAGCAAGTTTATTTTGTTTCATGTATTGGTTTTTGGGTGTGTTTTAGCGACACCCTATTGGCAGAACAAACCAGAGGACACTAATGTTGTGATCAACGATCGGGGAGTGCTGGACTGTGAAGCAGAAGGCATCCCAGTTCCCAGGGTAACGTGGCTGGTGAACGGTGTACCCTCTACAGATATAGGTAGGTTTTAGTAAGCCAGTCAGCACAGTATTGTCAGCGGTCACTCCAACAGTTCCTGGGCTTGTCAAATCTTTCATCCTTCCATCACTTAGCGTCCCTGGACACTATTGGTAAAGGGAATGTACCTAGCGGGACACTGAAGATATTCTGAGTGTCTCAGTGGGCTTTTTACCTTGAGGGCCTTTTGGGGAGGGGGATTCACAGCATGCTAAATCGGTCTTGTTTTACTACGTCTGAAGTCACTTTGGCCTGATTGGTGCATCTTCTTCTTTTCTGTTTCGTATTTGAAGCACCAAATCCTCGTCGCACCATCACGGAAGGTGTCGGAGGAGGCAGGGTGGAGATTAGAGATGCCATCACTGAGGACAGCGCCGTGTTCATGTGTGTGGCCACCAACGAACATGGCGAGATATTTGCCAGCGGCTTCCTCAATGTGGAATGTAAGGTTCTGTGTTTCAGCTTACCGTAGTTATAGAAATCCTTTTCTAATCATTGCACCCTTTGCTTTTTTTTCTTTCTAGGAAATGAGGTGTGAACTATTGGTTTCAGTCTTATTGGTTTTGGTTCTTTTTGTCTTTTTGAAATATAGCGAGACCTGCTGAAATGACTGATGCCCCAAAACGAAATGAGATCACCATCGAAGGGAAAGGATTTGAACTGACATGTGCCGGTCAGGGCTCACCGAAGCCAGTCATCACCTGGACGTTTCAAAATAATCCGGTAAACAACCTGGATATGTTCCTGTCATCTTGTCAGTCGTGATACCAGATCATTACATAAATGTTTCCTTCGAAACAATCCACACTTCTGAGCACTTCTACAAAGATCATGACTTGGATTTGTTGGCTTCATGACTCTGGAAAAAACATTTAGTTGCCGCTGGAACCAAATCCATGTGGACTGTGAGCCTTATCTGTGGCAGGGGTAAAATTTGTCAAGATTTTTCTGAATTCAGGAGTTTTTGTCTTGATTTTCAGATTTCAGGATTTTTCAAACTATTAAAAAATCTGGCCAATCCTGTTTTTACCATTACCATAAAAGTTGAGCTTTAGCAAAGGGTATTTTAAGGGGCGCTGATATGCGTACATGCATAGGTAAACACAAATTTACACCATATACATGTACCCTACATAGCTGTGAGGGCCCCAGGACCTGAGGTGATGATATTTTATTTTCCTCTAATCTCACCCCTGCTGTGGAGGAATACTGGAATGGTATTGAATAGGAGGCTTAAATTGTTGACATGGCAACCGACGCTGAAGCTGGAGATCAAGCTTGGCTTTGGAAAATGTCCCAAACATTTATCGTCACCCCCCCCTCCCTTTTCCAGATCAGTGACACTGACCCAAAGTACAGCATCGTGGAAGACGGCAACACTGCGAGCACCACAAGCACTCTAACGGTGTCTGGGGTGAGCATTGCTGATGGCGGTGACTACAAATGCGTCATTGAAAACGGCTTTGGATCAGTGATGGCCACGTCGACTGTGACAGTTCGAAGTGAGTGTTTGGCAGAGCTGCCGCGGGGTAGCGGCAACTAAAGTGGACGCAGAATCAATTGAATTTGATTTTCAAACTGTTGATTTTAGCCTCAGTTCCAGCTCACACTGTCCACTGTTGCATTGCCATCAGCGGTGACCCTCTTATTTTGTGTTGTAGCAAATGGGGATGAACAGCTTGTTATTTGAGGCATTTTCCTGTGAGCTTTGAGGGAAAACCTGGGCGTGTTCACCTATGAGTCGACTGGAACGCTGTGTGCTTTTGGGAAGAAATGAATGGGGTTTCAGTTTGACGCGGTGGCTGTAGTTACAGAAATTTAGAGAAGTTGCTGTCTGCTTTTAATGCACCAGTTTGGTGCTTTGGAAACGGGAACAAGACCTGTCTGCAAAGAATGGATCTCAGTTTCTATTTCTGGTTTTAGAAAAACCTTCCAGGAGTAGGAATTTACTAAAAAAAGAAAAGAAAAATATGTTTTGAAAGTAAACACGTGATCTGATTATGGAAATAAAGAAAAAACATTAAGGAAAGACAAATGGCATATGGATTGGGCTTGAACCTGGGACATTGAACTTGCTGAACAGCATGCTTTAGGCCATCGCAATACCACGATTGGGGGGAAATTATAATGTTTTGCATATTTTTCATGAAAATTTTTATGAAATGCTGTCTTTATAAAATTTGAAACATACATTACAGCTACTGCAACTATAGCCACTTTGTTATTTACATATCTCTGCTCTTTTGAAGAAGCTGGAGCTCTCTACAGCTTTGAATCGCTGTTCAAATTGAACCATTGGATGTTTGATTTAACAGGAGGCACAACGATCATCGTGGGACCTGGGGATGAAGTGTTCGTAGAGGAAGGCCTCGAAGTGGTTATCGAGTGTGAGGTAGATCATGACGAAACGCTAGAGCCAACGGTCACTTGGTACCGCGACACCGGGGCCGGTCAGGAGCAACTGGACCTGAGCCTCCCCGGTGGCCGCTTCCGACGCGCTAGGACCGGCTCGGACAGCCTGAAAGTGCTGAACACCGTAGTGGAGGACACAGGGACGTATGAATGCCGGGCAGTCACATCTGAGGATGAGGCTTCGGCGTCCACCCAGCTGGTCGTTCAGAGTAAGTGAGCAGCGACCCGTGTCCTTGTGGGTGAGACCGTGGCCAAATCGCGGGGCTGCAGATGGGAATAAAACACACACACACACACTGATGTCTCCGCAATGTTGCTGCAGCCGTTGTAGCCAATGGCCTCTAGTGTTTTACTGGTAAATCTCCAGGGTCAGTCACAACTTTTGGATTTAGTCTTCCTCACCAGAGAATGGGTTTGTAGAAAATAGCCATATTGGTTCTCCAAGTGAGCTTGAAACGTGATGGCTCTTTATTTGGATGCGCCACTCTGATAAATTGCTGACTAATCACGCTACGTGGATGAAACTCTCCATGATGGAATTTGTCTGCGCTCAAGATTAGCAATACTATCTTTTCATTCATTTTGTTACATCAGGTAACAGGAAGAGAAGTCTTGACAATTGATCACACCACCTTCAAAGAACACGGCATTTATAAGTGAAACACTGTTTGTTCAGAATATCCCACCGTGTTGTCATGTGTGGTTAAGTACACATTTGGGATGGCCCATATCATGTGCATATCTCCATATCATGTGCATATCTAACATATTACAGTGTTTTGGAAGTAGCCAAAAGCATCAATCGTAGTTTCAATTCTTGTGACTGTCAACAAATTCTGCGTGTCAGGTTAAAAGTAAACTCTCTGTTAAGAAAACCCAGCCGTATTTCTAACGGTTCATTTTCATCTTGTTTTATTTTTAACAGCTGCGCCCAGCGCCCCATCTGCTCCCATTGTGACGCAGCGATCTGATGTCTCAGACACCATGGTGGCCCTGTCATGGACCAGCGGTGGTGATGGCAATGCCCGCATCACGGAGTATATCATCTCCTTTGAGACCAACTTTGATGACCTGGGCTGGCAAGTGATTGACACCGTCTCGGCCCCCTCCACCCAGGCTTCCCTGGACCTCTCCCCCTGGGTAACCTATCATTTCCGGGTGGTGGCTGTCAACGACATTGGACAGTCCCCGCCGAGTCCACTGTCCGAGTCCTATTCCACAAATCCAGCAGCCTTGACAGAAGCCCCAGAGAATGTTAAACTGGACGCCACCGATCCTGGCAAGATGCGGGTGACATGGCCAGTAAGTTGAGCCTAGAGACGGATCTACTTCTGTACCAAAACTCCAAACAAAAAAAAAAGAAAAAGAAAAGAAACCACAGGAAAATTGGGGATTTGCCTCAACATGTTCCTCTTCCCATTGGAATGCAAGTGTTTTTTAAGAATGAAGCAGGATTATGCATGCATGCACAGATGATTTATTCTGTTTCTGATCTTGTAATACATAATAGCCCATTATTTAAATACCTAGAAAACGGGTTCCAGATTTTGTACAAGCATTTGCTTCTCCGTCTGGAATCCTCATATCATTTGTTATTTTGATGTTCAATCCATGTGAATATTTCATTTAAGATATGGAAATAACCCAACTCAGCGCAACTCAACCCAACTTAACTCAACTCAACCCAACCCAACCGAACTCATTTCAGAAGTCAAGCAAAAGAGGGAACAAGCAGTATTGGCTGTAGTTAGCCCTTATGCCCATTGGCAAATAATACTGTTGGAAACCAGGCCATTTAGGTAGGGAACATGGTGTACGTGCACCGGGGCATCACCAATTAGTATGTAGTCTCCAAGCATTCCTTTGTAGAATCCTGTTTTTGGATGTTTAACCTGGCTTAGTTTTATAAAAAAAAATCTTACTTAGGGATTGAATGTATAAAAGGAGTGAAAGTAAGAGTGAAACTTACTGGATCCATGTCAACGCTACCTCATACAGGAAGTGCATCCGTACGACCAAAATGGGCCAGAATTCAAGTACATCATAAAGTGGCGGGAACCTGGTGATCAAGCATGGATGGGGAATGAAGAGATCATAGAATACGAGGTCACCGAATATGAGATTGACGTCGGAGAAATGTATAAGGAGCTGGAGGTGCAGGTCCTGTACAGCAACAGTTTGGGACCGGGGCCGGCCTCAGATTGGTCAGGCTTCACAGGGGAAGGAAGTGAGTGTTTAAATTACTGCAGCTTACCTAAACCTGGCAAAGTATCAGAGAATTACTAAGCACAGAAACATTCCTGCATGGTTATACAAAGATAAGGCTGTTCTGATTTTTGGTATTTTCAAATGCCCAAAAGATCCAGGGGTGTGAAATCTCTGCTTTTCAGTGGATTTCCGCTTTTTTGTTGAATATGAGAAATTTTATTTTTCCATTTTTTGCTAGTGACGGGCCAGATTTTTGCTTCTTTGTGCAAGTGACGTTTTTGTCCGTTTTCTACTGATGCGCTGGGACGTGACGGCCAGACACCAAAGAGTACATGAGCACTGCGTTATGGACTTAATATAAATCTACTTTACAACCCTACATACATGTTCTGGTACATTGGCTTATGTTTAGTGTATATAAATCTCTCTGGGTATTAGTCGGTGCAGAGCAAGCCTTGTTTGTAAACAGCATCCTCAGACAATTCAGTACTTGTACTGTGATTGGCTGTCAATAAAATATCAATATTCTTCATGTGTCAGTGGGACTTGTTACAGCGCGAGCAGAAGTACTAACTAAAACAAGCTCCACTTACATGTATGCACTTCACTTTACATTTGCGGTTTGAAATAAGGCTAGTTGATTTTCGCTCTCGCTGGTAGAGGGCTTTTTGACAACAGGCGCAGGGTGTAAAAAGTTCTGGTGTCATGCATTATTGCATGATTTTGCACTGTTCTGTATGAGCTTTTAAACAATTTTTGGATATAACCTCATGAAAATGTCAGTGCAGCACAAATTGTCCAAAGAGATTCTGACTTGGAAACAGTCTTTGGAAAGACCAATCCTCAAGTTACAAATCCATGGGAATGGACGTGAATGGAATACACTGAAGACGGACGGGCAACACAGTCCGCTCCCAGGAAGTCAAAAACAAAAGCCTGGACATTCGATGCGCATTGTTTAAAGAATTGAAATTTGAAAACCGTGGTCGGATCAGATGGGAAAAGGGCCAACTCACACTGTAAACCTCGATGTTAACAATTTGGTTTACCTGTTACAAGTTCATTTGTAACCTTCAGGAATTTCAGCCAAATAGACCTATGAAGAAAAGGTAAAATTCAGACCTGTAGCTTAATTGTCCCCCCCAAAATGGCCGTTGGTTTCACCAGGAGGCTGTAAAATTCATTACACTGTGTCTACATTTCAAAATTTTCCTGGGCCCTCAAGGGGGATCTCAGACCCCACGCCGTATGTTCTTCGCACTTGCAATTTCAGCTATTTTTTGTGTGTTTCGCTCTGCACACTCCTGAAGATCGGAAAGTTCCGATTTCTATGAAACAGGGAAAAAAATCAAGTCCTGGCAAAAGAAGGCCCTATTTGCAAAAACAGTGCTGTCTGCAAAAAAACAGGGTGCTGTTTGCTGTGCCCAAAAGCCAGTTGTTATGGGCTCCTACAGTGGGTGTTCGGATTTCTGTCTTTTCAGTGTTTGTAGGTATGATAGCCCCTTCAGAAAATGAGGCAAACATGGTGTCAGTTTGCCGTAATCTTGCTAACCCTTGTCAGCCTACTGGCCTTGGTGATAGTAGTGCTTGTTTCATGCCATTTTAAGAACGGCACCAACGCACCAACCATTGTCATATTTTCTAATAAGTCAATTTGAAAGCAGAAATATTGGTGCTTTATTTTACAAATCACTGGTACCGTAAGTCATGTGGTACATGAACAGTTTCAGAGATGAAAGCATCACATTGGAATTTGAATGTTCAATTAGGCTCAGATCTTCCTTCCCATGTTGGTGGAATTTTGTGGCTCTTCAAACCACAGCAATCACCATTCAGGAGCACCATTCTGAGCTAAGAGCTTCAGCCCAGTAAATAAACACAGAAGACAAAGGGCTGCACATAATCCAGAATTCCTGTTAACCTGTGAAATGCACTTCCTGTTGGTGTGGCATACATGTAGTTTCCAATTAAGTAGAGATTCTCCACTAATACAGTGTACAGTATGCAGAGAAAGGGGCCTTGCATTACGTCAGTGAACAGAACACCTGTGTTTTGATCATGGCGGTGTTCTGTCCACAATACTTGCCATTACTTCCACAATAGACTGCAAGTAAGTGATGGGCCATCACTGGGAGCCACCATCACTGGTATCCACGGACAGCCCATCACTTCTCCATCTGCAGAATGTGTGGTTTTTTTTCCCGCAATAGCACACTTCACCGTGTATTACCTTCTTGTTGGATCCTAGCTCCCACCCAAGCACCCCAGAATGTGGAAGTGAATGCCGAGGACTCGTCCACTGTTGTCATCACCTGGGATGAAGTGCCAGACAGCACCGTCAATGGCCAGCTCCAAAGCTTTTTGGTAAGCCTTGTCCTGTTCACTTACCTGTTTGTTTGCAAAACAGTCAATTGGGTGTTGGGACTAGTAAGCCCAGTGTATTCTTGGAGTCAGCTGTATTTGTCAGGCATTAGAGCTGGCATCAGAAATGCAGAGAAAGTTTAGGCTCGGCAGCTGTTCGAAGAGGACTAAGCAATTATTACTTGTGGTCCCGCTTGTACATGTAGCTCAAACAGGAATTTGCAGGAATGCTAGAAGGGCCACTTGATCAGAGAAGAGTCGGCTCCAGCTCACATCTAGTCTGCTGCACCTCTGTGTGAAATCAAAGGGAGTATCTCTTCCAGGTACTGACAAGGAAATGCCTCATGCCCTGGGAGAAAAACAAACAGGTGCCACTCCAGAAGCATATTCACCTGCTCAAATTGGCAGGAGCTCTGACTCAATAATCAGGAGGTCCTCTTAGAAATGCTGCCGAGATTGTTTTATTTTTACTCTCATCGGCAGTGGGAGAGCTGCAGTGATAACAGTTGTCCTTATGTCAGTGGAGAAAAAGGTTGAAGATCTCAGGGGGACTAACGAAGCCAGTCTAACGAAACTATTCCTTCACAGAAATTTTGGGTTATTTTTATTTCTGTCACCCCTTTACAGGTGTACTATTCCATGATCGAGGTCCAGGCCCAGGGCCAGAGTCCGGCTGAGTGCTTTCCCAACACCGACTGCCGTGTACAGAACCTCACCCCTTTCCAGTCCTACGAGTTCCAGGTAGCCGTCCGTAACGGCCAACACGTGGGCCCAAAGTCAACGCCTGTGACAGTCAAGATGCCCCAAGGAGGTAAATCCTTTTTCCGATGAGTGGCACTAATTTACTGCACAGTGCGCTGCTTTGTTGTACATCTGTTCGGGAGGTCACATTTCAATCTCACAAACATCTTGTATATGTCATCCCACAAGTTAATCTTCAATTTTTTGTTTTGTTCTGGCGAAGTATTGCATAAAAAATAAATGCATTTTGGAGAATTGTGCTATATATACAAAGATATGTCAATATCAGTTGTACTCTCTAATAACAACAAAATGGATTTCTTAATTTTTTTTCTGCCAATCAGATGCATGAGTATCAATAAAAACATTTGATGCTGATTTCGCAACCATTTTCACCCCTTGACGACGGGAATTTTTTTTCCGAAAGCCGTCTCCAAGAATTCCAGCCTCGCTTGGCCATGAAGGCCACCTGCCAAACTGCAAATTCTCAGTTTGTGGCCCTGCGTGCTCTGCACGCTTAGAATTACATGGTGAAAAGGCTGATTGTTCGGTGGCATGCGGCTCTACTCACGCCTCCATATTCCCGTTGCCTCTTTTCAAAGTGGGGACTATTGTGAAGCTGGTGATTATGATGGAAATTCGGTCTTTCTTTTCATTTCTTGGCTACACACAAAGGCCAATCACCTTGTATACAAGAGCCACCTTCTTTCACCGTGTTCGCTCGAGCGTGGGCCGAGAGTAATAGCTGAAAAGCGGGCTGAGGATCTCAATTTTTACGGCGGCTCCCGGCGCGAAGGGGTTGATAAGCAGCCCATTTTTCTTATTTTCACAAGTGTACAAAACAGAGTCTTCATTATCCCACCCCCCAAAAAAAGAGATGTACTCTTGGAGCCAATTGGCCAATTTACTTATTTTCTGAGTTATTAAAGTGTACACAGTGTATAAACCCCTTTCCTCAGAGCTTGCATTTTGTACAAAAAAGGATGAAAACCTCAAAGGTATTTACTCCAAATGTGACTTTTTGTATGCACCCCACAGAATCGGGACCTGTGTATGAGTTGACAGCATTTCCCCTATCTGACCGCATTGTGGTGAAGTGGGGAAAGCCAGCTTCCCCGAATGGTGTCATCACGGGATACCATCTCAACATCAGCTCTTGTAAGTGTGTCAAGTGGTCCTGTCAGCATTTTGTGAAGTTAAATCTGAGGGGGCCAGTGGTACTGCCTCATGGTCACCATCACCTGAACAAATTTAGGGATCTCCTTCCTCAGTCCTGCCTTTATTGGGCCATTCTTAACTCTTGGAGAAATGCCAACATGAAATTTGCACAGACGTGTGTTGTGTGCTTGAGGCGTAGTGTGCAGACTAACCCGAGTTGGGCGCGTTCTCAAAGATGATGTGCCTGCATTTTGTCGGCTGTACTAGCCGATTGGTTGAGAGCAATGCAGCACGCGCATACCACTTACCGACAAGTGTGGTGCCACTGCAGTGATGGCTCTGATTCCACAGACTTGCCTGTGCAGGTGCTGTTGCTGTCACCACACCACATTGATAGACATGGCATATGCAATCTTGCACTTGGCGTGGACTCTCCTGTTGGCATGTCACAAGACCTGTTTATATTCAGAGTGGTATATATAGAGCGCATGATTTTCCGCGATAGCGAAAACAGACGGAATTCGCGGAATCAACACTTTGAAACGGAATCCACTGCTTGAAACAGACTTTCAAAATTTCCCGCTAAGAATGGCTTAAAAAGTAAAGAAAACTTTCTGCAAAGCACTAAAAAATAAATGTCTACCAAATCCTTTTCAAATGCTTGCTTGCAATGAGCGAATTACCCTGGAAGCATACTAAATTGCATCACTCCACCGCATGATTGGGTCATCCATGCCGCGCCGGTGTCGATACTTGCAAGCGTTATGGCGTGCGTGAGCCCCATGCGCTCAGCGGCAGCCGGCACAGTGCTGCGTTGCAGAACGGTACATTGTGTATTCACACATTGGCCATTCACATGCGCACCGTACTAGCAATGAAATCAAGGCGCAAACAAGTTCTTACTCACACATATGACTATTGCACACGTGGGGAATTTAGTCTGTGAATCCGCATGGACGCCTTGAGACAAGGCTAATACCCCATGGCGAAACAATGAAATCGCAGCAACAAAACGGAAGACTAATTACATGTACATATTTCTTGAATTAAACGAAACCTAGTAAGCTTGGTGTACCATAGCTGAATGGGCCTTGGAAGTGTTCAATAAAGAGTGAAGTTTTCAGTCACAAACATACATTTCAAGGCTCAGATTTAATGTTAACTTTCAGAATTTTGTCGCACTTCTGCCAAATAAAATGGCGGGTTGTTGTCCAACATTAAAATAATTATTGTGATCGACGACTTTTACATGCAAGATTTACTTTGTGACTGCACTGTACATGTATGTAATCTGATTTCATACCTGAGAAGTGGCACACGAATTGTCCTTTGATTAATCGTAGCAAGATTTTGGCGGTCACCCGCTGGTGGGAAATCAAGGGGTGGGGTATGCTGTATTTAGTGTCTGGATTTTTTAAAATTTTCACCACAGAGTATTTCCAAACAATAGCGTTATTTTTGTTTCTTTCCTTTCTTTTTTTTGGGGGGGTGATATAGTTGGGCAAATGGTTTCCATGCATAGTTTAAAACTTGCTCTCTTGTTTCATGCTTACGAAGGTATGAAATGGAATTTGAAATTATGAAGCAGTATGCGGGATTTGGCGAAACGGAAAATACCCATTTTTGAAACAGAAAATCATTGGCCCTATTTATAATGCACGTGCAACATGCGTGTCATTAATTTTCCCCTCCCCTTTTATTGTAATAGTGTCTAATTCTCGTCACCGGGTTAGTCTTTAATAAATGGAGTACAGTTTGGATAGATAAACGATTTCTAGAGGGCCTACCTTCATGCAGGTTCTCAGAACGTAGCATGAGTTGTGCTTAGTTTTCATGCCAAACTCGCTTTCTCTTCTGCATGGGCAGATGACAACAATAACAGGTTGGGCAATCAGACGGTAGTGCCCATCAGTGACGCCGAGACCACCACCTATGAGGTCAATCCTGCAGAGCCTGACACCAACTACTACATCGTTGTGCATGCTGTTAATGGATACGGCCTTGGCAAATTTGATACCGTGGAGCCTAAGACAAGACCTGCAGGTGGTAGGTGGACGAGTACCAGTTGTTTACCTGTAAGACGGGGTTGGGGGTTGGGGAGGGCCCGGGTTTTATTTTGTTTTTATTCGTATTGGGTACCAGATTGTATGATGGTTGTACAGCTATCTTCAGCTTTGATTCTGTGTGCCAGACACCCATGCAGAGTTGCTAAAGATCAGTGAAATCATGCCAAACTTGTGAGCAAACCTTGACGTGTATGTGTACCTTGTATGGGGGATTGTTTCTTGGTCCCCCGTCCAACCCTCTCCCCCCTAGAAAGCTTCTCTTATACCTGCTCGGACCCCCCAGATACTAATAACTATATCACCCATGCTGTGTCCACGCTCCTCGGGATGTCAAAACTCTGCTCAGGTTGGACAGCACAGTTTGCTCGTGTTAGTTCCATGCATTTGGGAACCAAACGAGAGGGGGAACAAAACTATATTATAGATGGAATCTGGTCTGAAATTGAAGTTGATCCGTTTTTTGGGTCCTGTTGTCAATTCACAGCACCAGTAAAGCCCATCGTGGCTGAGAGTCAGATTGCTCCAGGGAAGAAGTACATCAATGTGACCTTTGTACAGAAGGATGACGGTCCTGCGGCCAACCAGTTCTACGTGCAGTACAAGGAAGCAAGTAAGTCCCTCTTTTATGGTTCGGCCAAAAGGAGAACCCCGTGTGAAATATGCAATTTTGGGTGCTGTCTGCTCGAGAGCTCTGTGGTGTTGGTCCTCTTGGAAATATGAGCCCCGAGCTGGACCAAGAGAGGGTGCAATTTTCCTAGCAACCCAGGATCCATTGGTAGTAACCGTGCATTACTGGTTGACAAATGACTGTGAAACACAAGTGCTGCAATCGCATGGCTACCAACGAAACGGACACTCCCCACCATTGGCTCTCTTCAAGCGATGAGGGGGTGCTTCTGCTCAAGGCAAATTGATACAAAAACATGTCTGTTCCCGCAAAAATTGGGTTCAATAGTTTGTGCTTGTGCACACCATTGTCAATGTGCCATACACTCTGACCGTGCCGTGTCTTTATGAACAAGGAGAGACCCGGTTGACTGTCATGCCTTTTTACACATGCTGTCTTTTTTCATTCCTCGCCCATGGAAGCTAATGTTTCGATAATTCTCATGCAAAGATGATCATGTCCCGCCCACTGAAACACCTTGTATCTTTTTGGGTGCAGCAACTGACTATAAAATGAAAATGTTGACTTCCAGATTTGTGAATCCTCTTTCTTTCTTCACTTTTTCTGGGTCAGATATTGTACTGGATTTGCCAGTCCCGACCCAAGTTTCTGTTGTGTCAATATTGCCGATTTTGTCAAGTAAACAAGTTTTGTTTACAATGCTATAGGCAAGTCAAAGCAAAATGTTTCCATGCAATCAAGCAAAACAAGTTTTAGTCAATGCTGGTCAATTCATGGATTTTTTACCTGTACATTTAAAAAAAAAAAATTGTGTGTACTGTAGTGCTTCTGAAACACATTGCTTTAAACCCTGCGGAAATATCAAAGCATGTCAGGATATTTAATGTCATGAGACCTACATGTACATGTTTCTCAGCTTTACCTGATTACTTGCAGATGAATTGTTTTCTCTGGACGAAGATCAAAAGAAGGTGTTCAGTGGTGCATAGCATTCATTTATATAAGGCCACTTTCAACCCACTTACTGATAAGAATTTAGTTCTCCAACTGAAGCCAGTGATACGAGCTTTGAACCCAAACTGGCGGTGCAGTTTTTTATGGCTCTTGTACCGTCGGACTAAAAAACAAGAAGAAACAAATTACCTGAAAAGCATTGGAGCGGAGTTTCATTGCGACTCATGTAAGTCAGGCATAGGCGAGATATTGGCACACTGGGCTGCCATCACCTCACCTGGATTTAAATGCCATTGAGAGCCTACTCCACGGGAGAAAAAAAAATGGCTTCATGGCAGATGTGATCACTTATGCAAAGCGTAGAAGAATCCCAGTCAATATGAGTCATAATTAAAACCACAACATGGCTCAGCAAACAATTTGTTGAGTGTGCTGGTACGTGTACCTGGTAGTTACATGTTCTCTTGGCTTTATGGTGGTATTCTCTTACTCCTTGGAGCCGTACCCTCTCTAATTTTGCAAGCAACATGAATATGTGTTCTTCTGGTTCTTCGGAAAGACCGGTACCAAAAAAAGGAGGTGGAAGTTCTGCCTGGCTCCTTCAGTCATTTTTGCAAATTTCACCTTTTTTCGTGTAGAAATTCTCTCACTACTCAGAATTTTCACCTCTCTACTTGTTGGCACACATACCCATACAGTTCTGTGCTTGTGCAGGTGTTGTGAAACCAATGGTAATCCTCCGTCTACAGTACGTGGACTTGGCCTGCATGCACAGCCTGTATGCTATTGCTACAGTTAGGCTATGCGAGTCTAATTTTCCTTTGAATTCCAGTTTTAAACCAGTCAAAATCATCTGGGCCATTAAGTCTCCCACCTTGCCCCTAGTCACCCAGTAGTACTCAAGATGACTGGTCGTGTCTTTTCTCAGTTGTCCATGTGCCAAGGAATTGATGAATTGATACTTGTACTTTGTGCTTGGATTTCAGCCATCGGGATTCCAAGTCAGTAGCCTGTACGTCCGTTTGGTTTTTAGTTGGTAGTACATGTACGGTAGTTGTAGTGTCTTTCAATTCTGTCTGATCTTTTCTGATGCCACGCTCTCCTTTCCTCATTCGCATTGGCAACTTTTCTCGCCTAAGTGCCTGATCTGGAATGCAGTGAATTTTAATGTACATGTATAAATGATGTGTTAGGATTGAGCTGTTCTTGCAACAAATCTCACAAGGCCATTTCAGTTTAATAGAGAAATTGTTTTTTGGGGGGTGGGGGGGGCTGCAGATGTAAGCCCAATCTGAATGGCGGCCCAAATGCATATACCGGGTACAGTATATGCATACAGAAAGTTATGCTTCATGTACACTTGAGCAGGGTACCATGTTTACTCTGTGAGTCTTGGAAAGCCGAAATTACTGTGATGTTTGTGAGTTTATCAGAAACCTGATGGATTTGCCATTAGTTGGGGGAGAAAGATTCGATAGTTACCGGTATTCCACTCTTTTTCTCTGGCCACTCAGCCAAAGTGGGTATTACTTGACATTCGCAGACTGCAAACATTGTTGGCTGTCTGTCGTAAATTTCCGCTGCTTGATGAGGGTTCGCATGATATGAAGGGCAATGCATGTACATGCAATGAAATCACCACTGACCCTTGCTTGATTCGGAGAGGCAGTCTTAAAGTTTCCCAACTGAATACTGTAGGCCCGGTGTGACTCAAGCCTGGTTTCAGCCTGCATTGCTGCTGTCATGAAATTGCACAGTGTTGAGTTTCAGTCCTAAAACCATGAAGAACAAAGAGGGTGATTTTGTAGATTGATGTAATGAGATGTCATTGCTTCAGTAGTACATGTGTCATTATCAGTTACACGTTCTTAAACTCGGCTGAATATGTCAAAGAATTATGAATAAAAGACAGAAAGGTGGATGTCAAAAATTCTGGCCACAGGTTCTGTACTGTGTTGATATTCATGGCGAGAGTTTTGAAAATTCATAGGTCTGTTGTTATACACCGTAGGAAAATTGAAGTCAGCACGATAGGGAATAAAACACTGTCTCCATTAGTCTGCTTGATGAGTCCTGCATGAGGAATGTGTGATTGAGGTCACGGGTTATAATTGTTCAACATAATCACAATGGAATAGTTATTTGCATATAGGTTCACCCACGGTAGTGGTAATTAATTTTCTGTATGCACATGTTCATGTATATTCAAGTTACTTGTATGCCCGTAGGATTTTACTAACAGGTACCGGTTACAGTGATTATGTCTGGCATGTCTGTTAGGGAGGGTTCAGCTGTTGTCATTAATTGAAATGACAGTGCTACCCAGTTCACGAATGCCTGGCTTCCATATCAGTTCCTGAGGCGACCTTGCTAATATGATTTACTGGTACATATGTACATACCAGTACATGGTACATGTGTGTAGTAGTGGAACTCTTTCTGAACCCCTCTTTTGTATAGTGGTCTGCTCCATCTATTTTCATGTCTGGTACCAGAATAGTCCTAGGTTTTTGTGACATCTGTTCCTTACAGGTTGTTGCTTTAGGAAATATTACTGGTGCATGTATATTGATGGTTTGCACAATAAAGAGAATATTCTAAGGCCTGTGGTTCAGTTTTACTCACAGATTTTCATCGGTTACTCTTGTTTACATATCTATATTGTAAAAACTCCAGAGTCGGAGAAGTCTTTTTCTGAAATTGGTTTTTTTCCTCACAGAAATTTGTTGCGATAAATTTGGGAATTTAATTGTTATCCTGAAATTTATTCCGAGAGTACAATTTTTTGTTTTCATGTGCATACTTGTGTTGTACCGGGTACCTGACTATTTGATTAGGTTGCGCCATTTTAAAGTCCCAACATTTCTGGGATATTTTCAGACTGCTCATTACAGGGCGGGATTATCACGAGTAGGCCCTAGGGCCTACAAAAAGAAAAACTACAGTGCCAAGAGACACTCCTACAAAAACATACTGAAAATTTGTTCAAGTTGTAGCATCTGTCACTGAATTTACTGGTATGATTTAGAAAGGTTGAGAATATATACGTGTACATGTAGTGTCCTTTGTGTAGCTTACCAGTACTTTTTATTATCAAACTGAAATGTGATGCTGCACCTATTAAACCAGCTCTATTAAATTTATGATGGAACCATTGACAGTCTGAGGCCCATAAAGCAATGATGCCTAAGGGCCTACATGTGTATCAGGATCACTGGTGCCTAGGGCCTGTAGAATTCCCCTCCAGTCCCGGCTCAGTAGCTTAGTGTGACTGCGTCTGGCTGTGTTTATCGTTTAAAGCTTTGACTTGTGACGAAAGAAACATTGAAGCCGATCACTGATTAGATGTCACGCATGAGGTATGCACGCAGGGCACAGAGAACCTGATATATTAGAAAAAAAGCATATGGCATTGAATGCCACACATGTTAATTACGTGTATCTTGATGAGACTATCCTGCCCCATAGTGCGGAGAGGCCAGTGGTGGAAACCAGGTGCGGTTGATTTGTACAGTATACATTGTCCGTGTGTGTTCGTGTGCCTGTAGCCCCGTTGGTGAGGGACCGTTTTCGATGAGGGTGGATGTTTGTACGTGGTGGCAATCCAGAGTTTCACTCACTCGCAACTTTGGGAATATTTTTTCACAGGCAAGTTCTGTTTCCATTGTTTCTTTTATGTGGTTATCTCATAATACATGTTCGTCTACCGGTACATACGCTGTAGGTGATATCTTTCTCTCAGTCCATGTTTCAGATCCTTGCTTAATTTTTTTGGTCAAAATATTTGTTGGGCAGACATATTTTGTAACTGGACACTCTTCAGATCAGACGTAGATTTTCTGGTGGTTTTTTTTGGGGGGGAGGGGTAGGGGATATCGAAATGTTGGGGTGTCCAGCTGTACGTAAATGTACATAGGAAACAGCTGTGGTTTGTACCAGTGGGGCATCTGCTTTTTTTTTGACCCGTCGGCTATTTTGGAGTCCCATGCAAATTAAGACATGAAAGCATGAACCTGAAGCAGCTTGGCTTCCATATTGTTTCCTGTCAATTCTTTGGATTTGGAATTTATTTGTGGCGAAATCATGCCACTCACTGATGATGACTGTGTTGGTACCCCAGTGGATACTGGGGATTAGTGCCCAAGTGGTAATGAATAACAACTGATTGTTTTTTAAATGCCTTTCACGTAAAACCAAAAATGTCATCTCAAATATTGCAATTATTTTTTAAAATGATGATCCTTCTCACATCCAAAACAATCACCAGCAGTTAAAAATTCAGTCTTCATGTACAAGTACGGTACTTCCCCTGCATTATCCTTGTACATGTTCACCAGTTTTGTACCAGTAGGAGCAACCAGTGATGTTCCACTACATGTCATATGACAACTACATATAGAGTGGGAGGGTTGGGGCTCTAGCCAGAAATAATGCGTACTTCTATGGAAACCAGGGGCCACCATCCTTATTACAGACTGGTGGGTTAACCTTAACCACCAAGCATATTGTTTGGCTTACAGTATTCAGTACTACAAAATACTAAGTAATAGCCTGAGCCTGAAGGACCTAGCGCTACAAATTACTACTTCTGGCTAGGTTACTTCCATTGTTACTCGTACAGAGAACAATAAAGTCATTCATTCATAGTGCCACAGCACTGTATGGTACATTGTCTTTTCTATTGTATTTTATGGCTTCAGAGAACATTGGGGTCATGTCCTCTTACAAGCGGCAGCACTGAGTACTACATTTTACTACAAGTAGTAATTTGTAGTATTATGTAGGGTTAGGGTTAATATCAACTGCAGCCAGTTGATTCAGACGTGGCCTAAAGTTTGGGGTTTTTTTGGTTCTCTCTGTATTTGCTGTCTTTTGACCAGTCTTTCAAGGTAATATTGGAAATATCTGTACATTTCAAAGCAAAAGCAAGAGTTGACAGTGGATCAAATATTGACTGATATTAAAATATTTCCATGGTGGTAATAGAACTTGTGGTGCTTGTCATGTGGCACTATTGTTATGGCAATATAATATGTGTACATGTATATACATGCACATGTTCAGGTACTAGTACTAACAATATTTTTCATTCCACTGGTCATGCGTTGCCCCCTTCCCCATCTTTCTATACTGCAAGTCCGTTCTCTCCATCTTCATCGTATTTACAGGTGTGCATCGTGGACATTGAAAAATCATTTATTTGTACATGCTCTACATGTACATGTACTCACTTGCTGTCTTGACTTCCTCTGCCTTTTCTCTCAGTGTTACATTAACCATGTCCTAATGGGCCTTAAAGGTTTCTTCCTCAGCTCAGACCATAGAGTATCACTGCTTCTAACTGTAAGATTGCCAGGGCGGCCCCAGTAAGAATGATTCACGACAGTATCCCCTCCCACCAAACTTTATCCCCCAAATGTCCTATTTTTGGCTCATAGGTCGGCATCGGTAACTATTTGACATTTTACCGGGGACGACATTTAGGATGGTTGACATCCAGAGAATGAGATTGATGCGAGTCGGCGAGCGAAAGAAATTATTGCATGATCCCGACCTCGCATGTAGGGGCAAGGGAAAGTTGCAAGATTTGGTTACAAGAGCAAGGGCATTAGTGCATGGCGATGTAGAGCCCTGTGTGATCGCTATGTTATTACACATTGGTATGATGTCAAGGTCGTCCCATAGTGCATTGCTCACCCTACACATGTCGTAGTTAAAAAGTATGGTGCATTACTTTGATGCCCAGAATATCGCTTATTAAAACCCTCCTATGGTTTCACAGCACAAATATGCACGAATGCCCACAGTCACTCTGGTGATTGTGTTCTCCATATGGAACACAATGATGAGTACACATGTTCAGTGTGTACACACAGTTGGTTGCCAGCACAAAATGACGCAGGCTCTTTTGTGCAGTCCTCTTCATGGCATTTGATTTACTGCACAATTCGTGCACATGAAACTGAAATCTGATATTGTGAGGGATAGTTGGTACAGTGCACAATATGACACAGCTGTGCAATTTTGTGCGGTTTACCAACTGACCAAAGATTGACTTCAGCAAAGGAGGGTTATAAAAACTCGCTCGCTGTGCAGAGTTATATACTATATTGGTCTGTGCTTTGGTTTATGATTCATTCTTCCATTACTCAGTTTTGAAAACAGCTAGTTTCTTGCCTGTGTTCAACTGCTTTGCTTTTGGAATCGTGTCTCTTTTTTCAAAAGGTTATTAGCCACTAATTTGGTTCTTCGTGTCAAGATCTATGAATTCTTTTACCCTAGACAAAGAATCCTGTATTACATGGAAGGAATGTCAACCTTTCAGTTCTGGAAGCATTATGTGTATATTTCTCCTTGTTTATTCAGTAAAGTTGCTTTGAAATGAAACATTCAGAGCTGTTGTTAATTGTTTAGCCTGAAGCATTTGACAGTTGAAGCCGTGTCTAAGAAGTAACTTAAGTGAGGCTCTCAAAACTGCAGCACTGACGTCATCCAATCCTGACATCCAATTTGTTATTAGAAAAACTGCCCGCCAGCCTAACATTGGTCTCCTTCCCCTTGTTTTCTGGTTGTTTTCGTTCTTTGTCCGCCAACATCAGACAAAGAAGACGCTGAGTTGAAGACGACCCCTCCTTTGGATCTCCTGAAGGGCAGCATGATTACGGTGCCCGACCTGCAGCCCGGCACAGAGTACCTTGTGACTGTTGTTGCTGCCAATGATGACGGGGAGACAATTGGAGATGAGCAGACTACCAAGACCATTGGAGGAGGTAAGGGCCAAGTCTAAAAATAAAGCAGTTTTTGGTCTCTTCCCATTTCTTCCATCCCCAGATTATCAACTCGTTATGACACTTCTTGTGACCTAACATTTTGCTGCAGATGCAAGATGAGCTCGTACAGTGGCGTTGTGTGGTAGCCGTCTTGCAGGGAAGTTCTTTTGTTCCACAGGGAAACTTCCTTTCTGCCTACCCCGTGGAACAAAAGCACTGGCCTCTCAAGATGGCAGACATGCAAACCCCCTGTTGGATGTGGTAGTCATGCGGTGCCAGTCATGCTATATACTTCTTCCTCTGTGTTGTAATTTTATTTAGGTTTGGCCTTGTTTTACTCACGGAATTTGTTTTCTTTCTGTGAGATTTAATTTCCTTGTATGTAAGAGAATTGTCGTGGAACCCATCGACCAGTGAGTGGTACATGTATTTCCAGCATGATATGATGATTCTGTCCTGTGTCTCCCCTTTCCCTCAATAGCTACTCAGGCAGCCAGTCCCATCTTTGTGCAGGGGTGGTTCATCGTTGTGCTGATTGTCATTGTGGCCTTGCTGTGCATCTTGCTGGTGCTCTGTATCCTGAAGAGCCAGAGGGGAGGAAAGTACAACGGTAAGGAACTCCCCGGGCGATCACTCCAAAACACCTGACCTGATTCCATCTCCCCAGTATCGCTGGAGAAGATTCAGGGTTTGATGCTGGCAGTGCACTCTGCATCCACGCCACCTGCGATATTGGGCTTTCATACCGATGTTTGTCGTACACCTGTCTGGTGTTGAGGCCTGGGTCGCAACTTGTGCAGTATCGTGCTTTTTTGTGACCCATTCCATTACCACAAACTTCATGTGTCTTTGCCTTACAGTGTCAGATAAGGAGCAACAGCGAAAGGGCGACATAGAGAGCACGCCCCTCAAAGACGAGGGGGGATTTGAGGAGTTTGAACCTCGCAAGTAAGTTTGCATCCAGCTCGGACTTTGGATCGTAATATAACCCTCTTTCCTGATGTGATGGTTTCACACGTTGAATGTCTTTGGCCCGGCAGTCACAGAGTCAGTGGCTGGGGAATCTTGTACATTAACACCCCCCTCTGTTGCGAGAAACGGAGAGGCCCAGTAGATACTTAAACACTAGAGCCACCTTGCACCTGTTGAAAATGAGCAGTGCATCCTGCATGCAAGATATACACAGACTAGTGTGTACACATGGAACATTTATGAGCACATTTATGAATTTAGTGCAGTGATACAGGTGGAACAAATGGAATCTGTGTGTTGGTAAAACGTGTAGTTTATGCAGTGTTTGGCCCAGTCAAGGGAGAAGGGATGCATAGCATGTGTGCTCTGGTACCATCGCACGCAGTTGATGCAAAGCTTATCTGACTTCTCTGACTGTACTCAACGTCTGTATCTTTGCATCAAGCAATGCACTCAGGCATAGCGCAGGATGGAAACTACACTCAGAGGTTCTTATGTGAACAGTGCTGCTGTGCACATTTATCGCTGGAGGTTCAATTGACACGACCCCTCTTGTCGGCTGAGTGCTGAACGGGAATTACAAGTAGAAACTTGTCAGGAAAATTCATTCTCTATTTTCTCTTTTTTTGTCCCCCCCCCAACCCCATTCAGGGATAACCCAGATGGGGAGTTACCTCGTGGTTCCCAAGGCAGCCTGCGCGACAGTGAGCCAGGCAGCAGCGACACTGACAGCCTGAAGGAGTACGCCGATGGCGAACTTGGCAAATTCAATGAGGAGGGCTCCTTCATTGGCCAGTATGGGGACAAGAAGCAGCGGCCGACAGAGGACACCGACCAGAGCGGTGCCGCCTATTCCACGTTTGTCTGAAAACCTGTCTCATTTATCTGAGGCCTTCCTCTTGCATCTGAGGACCTTCCTTGTTCCCCTGAGGACCTTCCTCACTTGTCTGAGGACCACGCCCCCTCAGTTCAACAGTAGGGTCCACTGATAGTGCTTTTAGATGAGTTTAAGTATGTAGGAATAAAGGACAATGGGTGTGGTCGCCCAGTCTGCCTATCCTTTTTCTTTTTCTCTTTCCGGAACTACTTGGAGCGTGCTGTGCTGTGCTGTGGAGGGATATGTGCATCTGTACTCCTTCAAAAGGGGCAGAATTTTATTCTTACAATTCTAGATAAAATCTAACTTCATAAGGTCACAACTTGTAAGCATTCTATGCCACTGTGTATTCAATACTTGCATCTATCGCTATGTGTATGGTGGTATCCTAAAATAAAAAATTAACTTAGAGGACAGAATTATGCATCAGTGGATTTTTAATCATCTGTTAACTTCTAGCTCCAGTTCGAACAAAACAGTCAAGTAACATTCCTAGAATTCCTAGAATTGCCAAATTGACAAAAAAGAAACTAAAGATTTCGGGCGACTCAACCAAAAATGTTGAAAAGTTCCTTTTTAAGATGTAACATATTTTTTTCTTTGGTGATTTTTAAACCAATATTTCTTCCACCTGTGAAAATATTACAAGACTGATCATGGTAGAATTTTTCGTGTAAAAAGTGGCTGAAGTTGTGCTCACGTGAAGTCGTAAGTTAAAAGAGAACAGAAAATTCAGTACTGGAGTGATCTGCGGAAAAGCACCACTAAAGTAATAACTGTTGCATTAATTAATGGCTATTACCATAATATTTTCAGTTGCCTTGTTTATCAAAGACAGTGTCAAAGTCAACTTGTTTTCCTTTTGGCTTTGACACTTTGTTATTATTACGTTTTTTAATATACAGGAAAACGTTGTGGAGGATTTTTGTTACCCTTAGCCACTGTGACACTACGCCCTGTAATGGGGCTCACTTGTCTATCAATGTAACACGGTGTAATCAAATACACTGTAGTGGGACTGTTTATATTAGAACAATTAAGTAAAACAATTAGCCGTTAAAGAGATACATGTAGATTACCGTTGACGCACTTCAGATTGTATGTTAGGAATTTGTACTATAAACATAACGACAGCCTCGCCTTCTGGGCACCGTCAACATCCTCGTTTCTGTGCTCCAGTAGACACGGCAATCAACAGAATCTGTCATAAAATGGTTTAGGGAATAGCATCAATTTTGTGAGGCACCAGTTGGGTGTGGTTCAAGAAGTATGTTACCATACAGAACTGGCGGTCTGTCTTTGCCGAGAGTTGCACCTACCAGTGGCTGTGAGATTTTGCATAGGCGACCATGGTTTTAGAGTCAAACTTAAAAGCTGCATTCAAGCTGCAAACTTCCGTTGTCAGTTGTTCTTCCACAGGTAGGCTAGATACAATTTCAGTCAAAGACACATTGTTTCTTGATTTTAGATATTTTTTGTCTCCTCGACTGTTCCTGGCTGGGACGTGGTGCAGTGCCATTTATGCTCCCGTCTATCATGGAACACTGCACAGCGTTTGGACTGAAATGGTGCTGAGATGTTAGTGCACAGGCATGGAGCATGATATCAGAATAAACATGACACAGTTGTGTAAACCTGGGGGCACTGATCTCATCAAGCTACTCACTGAAGAATCTTGCTGAACCATACACATGTATACATATGTGCTAAGCGAACACCAGCTGGAAACCAGGTACCACAAAATGCACAGGACATGGCATTTTGGCTGGTAATCTGCTTCTGCTATGGATATTATCATCTTTACTTAGCCACTTTCTGTGCGCAGAGGTCAAACTAGGCTCAGCTTATTCCAAGATCTCTACTCGGCAACAAAAGGTGTACGGTGAAAGTGTCAGACGGTGTGAGTGAACTGCTGATAGAGTATTGCACCAACCAGCTTGGATCAGTCTTCAGTCACGTTTCTGGGCTCATCAAGGCCCAAATGCATAGCACTGCTTAAATCTGATTTTGTTCTTAGCGAGCCTCCATCTATCTCACAGAACATTAAAGATACAGAATCCTCCATGTGTACCTGACTGTCAGCACATCTACGCCATGAAAAAGTAGATGAGCACCAACGTCATATTTTATAGTAAGCACAACTTCCTTGCTCAATCTTAAGCAGCGCTATGAAATTGGGCCCAGCTACCACAAGTTGCTTAATCTTTCTACTTAGCCAACTAATAAGATAATGAGCGTAAGTGTCTGTATACGCCCGTATTTTCTGGAAGAGATTCACGGTATGTGTGAGTGGATTGGTGCATGCGCGCTCGAAATTTATAGATGACCATTGTAAGGCGCAGAAATTGCTCAGTTGCTTTGAAAAAAAAGTACTCGATGATTTGGAAACTTAACGCAAGATTTAAAACAACCATCCTTTCCTTTAATTAAAAAAAACCCACTTGATTTGGATGAATATGTATATTGTAAAGGCCTTCGGGCACAAAGGGAGGGTTGACTAATTGTAGCTTTGGTACACTCTCTTGAGTGGGTCAACTTAGTTCCACATACTGTACTTAGATTTAGATGCTGTAAATTAAAGCAACCATTGTACATTGTACTGTGAAGTTCCACAACTTCATCGTGTATGGTCTTAACGCGTTGGTGGTAACAGCAGGATTTTGAACAGGACCGCGCCGTTTTTGATGTTCGTGTACACTGTAATTAACGTTTTATCTTACACCGTAGTAGTCGTGATGCGCTAGATTGTAGCGATGCTTGCATTCTTATCACATGTGTTGAACTAAGCAAAGTTGTATAATATTGAAAGAAAAAGCCCCATTTGTTGGGTCCCCCTTACGGGTGCCTCCGGACAAATTGAAAGGTGTCTATATAAGTTTTGCAAGTTGAAATATTTGCAAATGTTTTTCGTTGTGTGGTCTTGTTTGTCTTTTTTTAACAAGTTATATCGAGATGTGCTTCGTAGATTGGCGTTTGTGTTAAGTCTGTGTACTTGCCAAGCTTACAGTCAAGCCCTGACACAAATGCAAGTAGCTATTTACATCGTAGAAAGACTGCAGTTTATGTAGTCCCAGATGACTAATTCGTGGAGTTTTGAAGCAAGATATTTTTAGTTGTCAGTGTGTTTTATTGCGTATGGAAATACACTTTTTAGGATCTTGTTTCCTAGAGAGTGAAACTTGTCCCCTTCCCATGATGCAATTGGATGGTTATCAGCCGTTCGTAATGGGAATGATAGGATATTTATTGACTACGCTTGTATTATATTTTAATTTGTAACTGTATCATGTGGTTTATTAATCTTTTAGCGTTGTAACTTTAAGCATCTTTCATACATTTTTAAGGATACAGTTTATCTCACTGTTGTACAAGTAGTGTTCAATTTTTTTTTTCAAGCAAGATAACGTGTAGCGTCGTTGTAGGTTTGTTAGCACTGCAGTTAGATGGAATGGATTCTGTATTCAGCAGCATGGTAATTGTGTGCATAACAAGGTTTTAAATGCAAGTCTTGCAGTGGTGGGCACGTGTTGAGGGCGTGCGTTGGAGAACAGCAAGCGGCAGCTCACCCCTAGCCAGGCAGGGCTCGAGTCAACTAACCACGACTGGAAGTGGCTGCAGGCCATAGCCCTAGATACTGGCTTCCGTAAACGCACGGGCTTGGTTACAACTACAACCACAGCCACGGTCACGAAACGTGCAGAAAAGGGGACACTTTGGCCGAACAGTGCTGTGGAAAGGCAAACATTGACGGAAACCTCGGTGGTTTGTAATCTACAGCGAGTTCTTGGGATCACTTCAAGTTCTGATCATAGTGTTGAGGCAGGTGAACCTAATCCTGTCGCCCGATGCGACGATCCTCAACTTTAACAGTTAGTGGGTCAGGCAGCGCACACCGTCGAAATAGGTCAACCTTGGAAACCCCGCCCTCGTGCAATTGCATTTTGGCATTTCAGAGTTTGCAAAAGCTTTCAGCGGGACTGGGCATGACGCTTGGAATCGGATTTTGCCAGTGGAAGCCGTCATTTTATTAATATATTGATTTTGTTGTGCACTCGTTCCACACGTGGAAATACGGACAACAGCTTCTGGAGAGTGGATTCTTAGACTTTTGGTCGTATATACGTTTGGGCAGGGAACCAGTAGAGCGAACATGCCAACTCGCTCTTGTGAGCAGCTTACTAGTACCGGCTGCAGGGATTGTGCAAAGGAAAAAGAAGAATCCATAGCTGTCATCTTGATTGACAGGGCTGGTTCCAGTTTTAAGTATTGTTTCATCGCAGTTTACTTGGTGTTACAGTTTCGCCTGCCTGATAACTCCTGGCCCATCCACACGTAAAGGTAATTGTTGAGACTAATACATTAGATGGGCATCTGCTTGTAAACCGATCGGGGTAGTGTTTTTATTAAAGGGTGCATCTTGTATAAAAATGAAGTAATCGGTTTTTGTTTTCACAGTAGAAGTGATGAGAATTTCAATTGTGTACAAAATCGCTGAGTATTGCTACGTATGGCTTATGATGGTTTTGACTGGCTTTTCAACTTTGTTTTTTCCTTAAATTCAATACATAATAGTGCTAATAATCCGAGGTTGAATAACTTCCGGTTATTTATCGCCGTCGGTGTTACCTGTAGTTGATGCCAATTCTCCTGTTAATCAGTACTGTCCAAATGGCTTTTTCATTAATATCTGTTGTTCAAATAAAAAAAAAGTTTCAAAAATATCAAAAGAGTCATTTAGTGTCTTCAATCTGCGTTGTAATGCTTGGAGCACATACAGTCTATGTATTTCTATATTAAACATGTTTGGATACGTCTAATAAAGGATGTCTGAAGATTAAAATATTAATGATCACGGTATTCACTTGAAATCACCGTTGCAAGTCTCGCGCCACTCAATTTTAGGTCTCAAAAATGTTTAAATTTGGCTCCCCCAAACAATGTTTTGCGGCAATGATAATTCTTGAGGATCTTTAAGGGCTGATGATCGTCAATGTACTGAATTTTTTCCTTCCAGATTACCAAGTGACAGCAACTTCCGAATTTACAATTGTTTCTTCAAGATGATCGAGTTATACAATATTATTATCGGCCGAATGCCTGAAGACTGGAAACATGTAAATGGCGGCATTAAAATGCTCCTTTCCAAAGTTTAGATTTTGCTGAAACTTTAAAATTTTATGCGGTTGTCAGCATGGCCGTAAATCCCGGAGGATGGGAATATACATCCATTTTTTGAGGTTAGGGAAGTGCTATTGAATCATCCCCCACTTTTGTGTGGCAAGCAACAAAATTTAAGCGGATTGTAGAAGAATTTTTCAGATTTCCCAACGACAAAAATACATTCAAATCACTCAAAAAAGAAAAGAAAAAAATACCCTTAAAAGCCATAAATGTGCCATTCTCATGCAAGATTCTGCTTTAATGTAAAACATATTACAGACATACACAACATCACGAACATGGACCTAAAGAGGGATCCCAATACGACGCTTTTAGCGTCGATCTGTGCACTTCAGCGTTTGAAAACGAGGCTGTATGTGTCAGTTCAATTCTTAATACGATTAGACGATTGAAAGAAGTCAAGACACAAAATACATAAAGGTATGTTAAATTCAGAGTTTTCAGGCCGCAATTTTTTGTTGAAGAGTCTTTCAGAATGACTCGACGCGTGAAATCAAAGGTAAAAACAATGGCAATTGATCGCGAACTAACGTACCTGCGATGGCCGTGTATCTTGTACAGTGGGCGTGGTTTAAACTGAAGTAGTATCGCATTTGCAAACCGGGTACTGTATGCAGTATGTCGACTCCACGGGCGCGTGCGAGGAAGTTCAACACAGAGAGCCTCGGTTTCGATGCGGATATGCGCAGACGGCGCTAATGTGAAACCCATCTACATGGTTTCTTCCCCCAACCTGCTTTTTAAATTTCATGGCCGGGCTAGTCATCCCGTCCTTCCCTCCATCCCCCCAATGTCTGGTGCTAATTTACGCCACCAGTTTGTCAGTCAATGAGAACTAACTAGTTTAGTAAACATCTGTTGGACCAAACAGTGTGAGGGTTAATTGTTTTTGATCTCATTTTCTGGCTGGGTAATTCTTAAAGCCGTTAGACCCAACCTTTTATAGAATTCAACCCAGTCATTTTTTCCTTTATTCGTTAAGCTATTTATCGTAACATGGAAATTGAAGATTTTTTACGCGTGCATTAGATAACTGGGTAAAACAAAACAAGTGCAATGTAGAACTGTCCATTTTTAGACAAACTTTCCATCGTTGAAGAGAGAACCTTTTACTGCAGATGGATGTCGCTTCTTCCTTCAGATTCACCGCTCCCTGAAAAAAGAGGGAAAATACTACACCTTCTTACTCCATTAATTAACAAATCATCAATATGGGCCAACTCCATTGAAACTAGAAAACCGACGACGGTGCATTTGAAATTTACAATAATTTTGAACTTCTTTGTTAACGTCTGTGCAATAGTAATTTAACGGCGTGGACAAGTTTCCTGTGGAAAAACAAAAACTTATTTATACACGGAAGTGCTTTTGCAATATGGCATTTCACAATAGTGCGCCGCCAAGAGTTTACAACGCGTCGACCAATCACAGTGCGCGAGTTCTGTCGACTCTTTCCAAACGTGCACTGCAGTTGGTCAACCCCCTTCACATTCTTGGAGGTGCACTATTGTGAAACGCCCGTATTCAATAACGCGACCCTGTAACATCTGAAGAAAAAATCGAGTGTTACTTAAAGTTTAAGCTGAAAGACTGAATAAATAGTAAGCTATTTGTCTTCTTCGTTAGCACCTTGGCGGCAGACCACGCCTGCATCGCGGGTATGGTTGCATCTGAGATCCTCCCAGCAGAAGGATGGACAGTCAATGATCCTACTCTCCGACCCATCACACGCCAGACCATCCATGAAGACGGGACCCTCTCCCTGACCAAAGTGGGCACCAGACTTGGCCTCCTCTGCGCCCGAGAACCCTAGCTGGCGGCAGACAACCTCCGCATCTGTCACGTCCCAGTCGGTGTCACACAGAGTGCCCCAGGTGTAATCCTGGTAGATCTCCACGCGACCACTGCTGCGGTTCGAACCACCAGCCAATCGAATTATGTCTAAATAAAATGAAAACACCAACATGTTGTCGACATTGCAATTTAAAAAAAAATGAATGTAAGGTACCTTACCTCTTATTTTTACTAGGGTACATCTCCGTAAAATGGGCCCTGTAACAAATTTTTTTCAAACCAAGATGGAAGCAGTGTGTGCATGTGTTGATCAGAATGCAATGAGAAGATTCTACAAAAGCTATGCATTAATTCTAAGGTTGCCTTACTTGGTTTGCATTTGACTCCGGCTACTTGTGAGCCGTTACAGCGATGGTTGCCTGTACAGAGGAATGGGCAGTCAACTAGGCGCCTCTCCGACCCTTTACACGAAACACGGTTCATCACAATGGGGATGTCATCGCCATCCTCCAAGGACACCGTAGTGGCTGCCTCCGCCTCCAAGAAGCCGAGCTGATGACAGACAATGCTCGCCTCCTTCATGTCCCAGCCGTTGTTGCATATCGCACCCCAGACATTATCGTGGTAGATTTCTACTCGACCGGAGAGTACCCCGTCACCATCAAGTAGGCGAAGCATGCCGTCCAAATCTGATAAAAATGATAGTGGCGTTGGGGGTGTTTGGACAGTGTTCAAATGTACCTGAAGCTAGTTCATCAAAGCGGTGACTGTTCACTTACCGAATTTAGATAGCAAACGATGCACGTTCAGTTTTTGCAGTAAAAACAATTGTCATTTCTTTCATGTGAGTCTGACAGCGCGGGTAGCGGGGCCGGATGATCAAATAAAAACGTACGCGGGCATGGCGCCAATTACGTTTAAATAGGCCTGTAGTGAACAAAAATAAATGTGCCTCACATAAACGCACCCTTCCATGTACTTTTACACACTGCGCTTCCCGGTGCTGTGAAAATCGTGTTGCTGGTGCCTGAGGCAAAGTATGTGGAGTTAAGTACGGAAGCATGTAAGTACCAATTTGAACTATGCAAAAATATTTTTTATTATGAATAACGCAACAACTTTGCGAAATAACGCAATACATGTAGTTCTAGGGACATTTGGGGCAGGTTCGCGCGGTTACTCCGATTAGCAAGAGTAGGATGCGTGCGCATTATACCCGGGTACAAGGGTAAGCCTATACCCCCCCGATAGCGAGAGTGTACTCTGTCGTACTCCACCCGTTCGAACGCTCAGGAGTATCGTGTTAACACGAGTAGCTCGCTCGAACGCACTCCCGACTTGTTCTTTCAGTCGCATACGTAGCAGGCTGACAGTAAGAAAAAAAAGGATTTTTTTTCACATTGCAGTTGAATGGATTTGTGACTTGGCTTAAGGGAATAACGCGATTTCCCATATTTCTGTACGTAGGCCCTAACGTAAACAAATGAAGCAGGGTACAATTTTACTTACCTTGACAACCACGTATTTCTAAACTTAACCAATAATGACCCACCCATGTGGCCGGTATTATACGGAAGAATCTCCCAATTAATGCCACAGGGAAGTCAACAGTAACTGGTGCTCCTGATCCGTTGTTTCCTTCGAACTGAAAGGCAAAAAAAAAGGAAGACATGGATTAAGCAAAAATCCTTTCAAAACTTCCAGCCTAGTGTTGAGATGCCCTTATGTGTTTATGTATGCTGATCAGTGTCAAGATTGTCATTTTTCCCAAGCAAACTTCCAAGATATATTTTCATTTCCTCCTTTCAGTTCTGTTCACAGGACGTCTCTTAGCATCCTGTTTTTGTATAGCATTATGTTTCACTCGTTGACGTCGAACGTCAAATTCTGAGAGAATGAGGATACAAAGGAAACAACTTCTGCTTAGCTGCCTATTGCATGGCAACGTGACCGTGTACTATTTTGATAATGCTCGCTGAGAAGTGACGTACATATACTGTGACTATGCTGGGCATGCTCAAAGCCTCCCATGTGCCCCCTTCATTCAAAATGTGCAACTGCATAAAACCTAGGTACAAGGCACAGTTTATCTCCGTGTACCTTCCATGAGATGTGCGTAATTCCTATTCCCCACCCCCCAGAAAAGTTCACCCTCGAGCAACCGCCACTATATGCAAACACTGTCCTCACCTGAACGGTTTCGCCTTCTGTATCGGCCAAACTCTCCCAGTCATCCGATTCACCGGTCGCACTGTACTGCACAGTGAAAGTTTGGACATACTGGTTTCCATTGGGGCGCCCCCTCACTATTACGCCAGCGATGGCGGTGAAGACCCCCAAATCCACCTGAAGCCACTGATTTTCTAGTGTCGTTGGTGCCCAAGCAGAACCTACGGATATAATTGTCGCGATCATTTGTCCACTAGTTTTTCACTCTGTCTGTCTGCCCCCCCGGTAGCTTTTTAGTATGTCAGTAGGCTACAATTGGGACAGGCCCCCACCAACCCAAGGCTATTGTGCCTACAGCATCTGAATCTGAAATTCCCAAGTTTTCTTTTTGTGTTCCGTCTGTTACTTATCTTGCACCAAAATGTTTCTTTCAAATTGTTTTTTCCCTAGCATTCTTGGGAAAGGGCGCAAGAGAACGATTTAATGAGTGGGCCCAATCCCAAATGATACTTTTGCTAATTGTTGTGCGACTAATGGTTTTAATTACACTACAGTTGGTATTTTATATTATGTAGTGAAAGTAAAGTGTCCCCAATGGTAGGGTTAGCAAATCCTCTGTGTTAATGCAAACGCCCAGTTTGCCTACATTTAAAATGAAAATGTGAAAATGTGAAATCTTTAGTGCAAGCACGGGCGTTGCTAGACCATTTGGGGGGGGGGGGTGCCACGTGAAATTTGACGACGGACCGTCACGAAAATGAGTGTATAGTCTGATTCCCTTGCCTGACACAGACCTGACGTTTTTTATTGTGCCGACAGACCATGGTTTCGCCGACAAAACCAACTAATAAAGAAGGGGGACACCCCAATACCCCCCTCTAGCGACGCCCTTGGTGCCAGTACAGTATAGTCCATGATAAAAATAGTTCATGAACTTGTTACAGTCTCATTTTAAAATTAGATTTGTGGGTTGCTCTTTGGCAATCCTAAAAAAAACCTACAGAGGTCAAGGTGTGGTTTGTTGCTAAACTCAGAAAGATGGCGGCGAGGGAAGGGGGCCCTACACTTCAATTTGCCAAGGGGCCATGGTTATCAAACACATCTTACCTAGCAAGCTAATACACGTCTTATATCAAAACACTGCAGCGCGCGTGTCTTGCCCTCCATTTAATAACTGACAGCAGGAAAATTCAAAATGCACAGAGAATAGAGGTGGTGAAATGGCCTACTCCCTGGTCCAAAAGTGAGAGATTGCCTCTAGGATTAAAGCCAATGCCCCTAAATTTACGAAACAGATGTGGGAATCTTGTATTCACCGGAATTAGGGCGAGCCTTGCTTGGGAGGTAACCGGAGCTGTAGCTTGATGATGCAGTTATGCTGCTGTCTGGTATGGCCTGACTCTCCATGCCTAACGGTCCAACGGTGCACGGTAATTCTGCACGAGAACCATTTCAAATCACTGTTTTCAATAAATATTAAATTCGCTGGTGTATGGTTAATGTGTAGCACAGTGTAAAGGGGTGACATTGGTAAAAGCAATCCTGCAAGATATCACAAAACTCCCCTCCTCCAACTGTAGTATGTTTTTTAAGCATCCTCGCGCAGTACGTCGTCCTTTTAACAGATTCGATTTAATTTCACTTTTTTTCTCTTGTGCATGCACCAGAATGCACCCTTTTGGTTCTCACGTGCAGAGTAAGTTCTGTGATGAAACCCTTACCGGGGCGGAACCAAGATTTTTGGCGGGGGTGGGAGACGTTGGGAAATTTCTGTTTGTACAAGGGGGCCGGGGTGGACCCCCTCCATGGCCCGATCAGCGCCATGGTATCAACAGCAGCACTCACCCTGTAGTTTATTTAAGGGAGAGAAGGGGCCCGTCCCTGGAAAGATCAGCGTCCTTTTGAAGCCCCCACCGAATTTGGGAAAGAAAAAAAACTAAGCGTCGTATTAAACCTGTGATACTTTGTAGGCCTATCCATTTTATGCGCCCCTCTTCAAATGAGGCCCCGCCCACATCCCCTAACGGACCCCACTTAAATTAATGGCTTTCATTAAACGCGTGTACTGTCAAAAGCATTTACCCGAAAGAAGAGGCTTGGGAACAACTGCTTGTCTGTGGAGTGGATGACCTGAACATAGTTCTGAAAAAGGGGGAAAGGAGAAAGGACACTTTGAGCATAAATTCTGAACAATTTGAATTGAAGAAGTAGGTTGAAGGTGAGTTGATAATACATATTGTAAAAGCAGACATTTGAATAAGTCGAGTGTGATTCCATTTGTAAAAGGTTGAGTTCATCACCTTTCTCACACGATGAGTCTATCTTATCACAAGTCACATCGTCTCCAGCCTCCAGAGGTGGCAACAAGTCAACTTTTGGAAGTCCAAGTCAAATCACAAGTCAACTTTTGCAATTCTAGGTCAAGTCACAAGTCATTTGGCCCAAGCACAAGTTAGGCCTGAGTCGCAAATCATTTGATCACAGTCAAGTCAAGTCACAAGTCAATGTCGTCCAATCACAAGCAAGCCACAAGTCTTTTTGTCAAAGTACAAGTCAATTGGTTACGCTATGTGTGATTTCAAGCCGCAGCCTAGTCTTGGTTCCGAGACTTTCCATATTTTATTCTGCGATCTGGAACTCGAGCTACATGCACACAGAAAGGTTTTGTACATTTTGTTTGACCGGGGGGGGGACAGACTGTGGTAAGAATGGTAGGATATGCATAATTCATATTTGGTGGTGATGGGCGGAAGTTAAGCAACTAACTCGACCTGTCAACATGCTTCACGTTCACGAACGACCTGTTCAAGCTGAAACATCAGCCATCATCACGTTCAACATTTTTAAAGAGTTTTTGAGTTCAGCACTCACAGATATTCTTGTATAGTGTGGGCCAGTAGCCAAGAATTTCCGATGAGCGCAGATAACAACAATTGCAATAGAGCCATATTAAATTGTTTGTCGTGGCGCACATTCTCGAATACAGTCACTATGTAGGCCTATGACCTCTCCGCTCGCTTAAACCGCAAATCTGGCCCATTTCTCCCCAAAACTGAAAATTCTCAGAATGAATGCCCACAAATATCTGATTGTGGGGAGATGTTGTAACAATATTCTATTAGCGTGTCTTGAAGGCATGTTAAACCACCAAAACGTGGTTTTTGACGCGGAAAATTTCGGCCCAAGTTCGAGATCGGGACGCTGTTTTGTTTTCAATTCTAGTCCAAGTGGCGTCCAACAGGCTCAAACGAAGCTTGAAGTTCGGGGGAAAATCAATGAAAAACGTAACTTACTACCGAACAAATTTGACTACAGCAGCTACGGTAAGTGATTCAGACGTGGACTTGGGCAGACAAGCCCGAATTAGAAGTTGTGAGCCGCACAAAGTCTTACGATGATTAGTTAACGCAAGGCGTAAGGTGATAGGCCTATACATGTATTTAAAACTGTAATGAGTTCCGTCGAATAGAGCAAGCCAACCACTGATAGTTACAAGTCAAGTCACGAGTCACAAAAAATAGCGACTCGAGTCCGACTAGAGTCCAACTTTAAGTCAAGTGACTCGAGTCTACAACTCTGGCAGCCACCCATACCGCAATGTATGTCCATAGGACTAATTTGTCCTTGTGTTTTTCCTTTTAAAATTCATATTTATCTAATTTCCTTTCAGTTTGACCTTAGTTTGATCTATGCACCTGTTACGAAGTAAATAATTCCATACACTGACGCCGTTGGCCACCCTATGCATAAACCCTACGAGACTGGTCTGAAAAATATGTTTTCTTGGTGAATACGACTAACACTTAGTGAATGACTAATAAAAACTATACGTGGAAAATAATTGTGACGTTCTTATATGGAATTTGATTCGTTCCCCTACGGTGACCAAGGGTGTTGAGCATGCGATTCCAAAGTTGTAAATGTGGTCTCCATTTGAAGAGCTGTGGTTCCAACATTAGCCACTCACAAAACTTGCTTGTTGGTGGTATAAAAAGTCACCGACTCATATCGATAGCATTTGATATCTTGAATACAGCATATTTGAGTTGCTAACAAATCGACTTCGACTTGTGAATGTACCATGCATGTGACTCAAAGCAAAGAAGTTGTCCACCCAGTCGAAGAGTTGAACAATTTACGGCTTGGGGAAGGAGTCAAACTTTTATCTACGCTGATGGACAATGGATCGAGTTTACTTCATGGCCCAGAGCATCAGTGAAATCTTTTCTGTTTTTTTTTTGTTTAATGGGCAATTGCGGACGGAAGGACGCGGTTTAATTAGACTCAACTAAATAGATGGAGATTCTTTGATTCGAATCAAGGTTCTTCACCTTCCCATTGTATCTCCTTAAACAATAATGTTTAGTATAGGCATTGATGGTTGTGAACTTCCTATTTATAACGTGCTGACGATCGGAAGTATTTTTCTTTCTTACTGGAATTTCATTTATTTCCGCCTATAATTTTTCATGTATTCATCAAATTAATGAGCCAAATCTCACCGTGTTAAATAATTCAATACCAGCCTTGCGTTTTCAACTAGTGGCTGTATAAACAGACACCTGTAGTGCTGTACCGCGTTGCTATTTTTTCCTGTGAGAATTGATCGGAATTACGGCTAACCAATAAGCACGAGCGACTCCGGCTTACCTTTTGATTGTGAGTCATACATGAACACTTTCTGAAAACTTTTTACTTCACCTAATCAGCGGAACATTCTACTTACCAACAAGGGCAAAAGTCAGCAACACGGTGTGAAGCGTTACAGCCACCATTGTTGCAACGTTCATGTCAAAGGTTGACTCTGAGAAGACTCCCAGTTTGAATCTGCTACATAGACGGGGTCCCGTCGAGTTTTTATAGCTTTCAAAAAGGTTTTGCTTAACGTCCTTCCGGGATCGACAAAAACACTGAGAACTGGGAAGCATAAGGGGAATCTGGCTTGCCTAATATCCTGATGTTATCGGCTACACGCTTCAATGTTTAATTTGCTACTTGTCGACGAGGAAGGCAGAACAACCAGACTTTCAGAGCCCTGAAAACCCAGGGGAAATCCCTGAATTTTGATATTTTTTAATGGCTTATTGAAGTCACCAGCAAGAAAATGTGTTCAAAGTATAAACATCGTGTAGACCTGTTTATGACACCTTCACCACACAAGGACTCAAGCCGAATTTCTCAGCGGTCGCTATTGTGACGATCAGGCAAAAGAATATGCAGACTTTTCATTTTTTTAAAAGAAATACCTGGTGATGTAATGTATGGCAAGAAATGTAGCCTGAGGGGCAGGAATCGACTGAACAGCCGTGGTGCAGAAACTGTTCAAATGAAAATATTATGGGGGAAGTGCGTTGAAGGGGATTGCACGGAAGACTGCAAAGCTCTTGGGACTATATAGATGGGACAGCGGTGCTTTACTATCAAATTTTATACGGAAATAAATCTTCCAAACTGGAGATCATTTTTTAAAACCCTTTTATAACAACGAGTTTGACAAACTCTGAAAGGGCAGTTGACACCATATGGTTCTGTCTGGTTAATATTCACGATATTGATGTACATCTGAACGTATTATGCATTCACACTGGCATATTTATGACTTTATTTTCTCATTTTGAGTGATAATGAATGCATTTTAGTGGTCGGATGTCTGAAAAATTTGTCACAATCCCCTTTGATTTTTTGCTTACGTCAAAATGTGGTGGCTCTATATCTCCAACCAGCCCCTGGATCTGCGCCCATGGGGGGGTTAGGGCTAGTAAACGTTTTTGCACCCAAAGGGACAGTCAGTAATCAGAAGACGGCTCTATCTTCCGAGGCCAAGGAAAACAGAACACTCTTTTGGCCACTCACAGCCCCCGGGGATGGACGTGCACTACTGACCTGATTATGCCAGTCAATATGAGTTTCATAACACATCTCTGTCTAAAAAGTAAAATAAGAACAGAAACTGTTAAGAGTTCTTCATATTCAACCATAAAATCGACCAGTAACTCAACAAGTAATCCAATCATGAAAGGAATGGGTTTAGTTTCCTTAGATTCAGTTTTTGAGTGTGTTGGTCACTGTTTTCGTCAATACTTTTGAATACCTCGGTCTGACCGTAGACACTGGAATTAGAGCGCGTAATGTCTTGGTGCACATTTAACCAATCAGGATAACGAACCAGCAAGAGGTATGTTATGGATATTGTTATTTTTTCTAGAAGACTTCCATATCGATATTGCTATTGAAACAAAGGCTCCTTTTATCTGACGTTCCCTCTGCAGTCTTCTTCTGACAACAGACCAGCAAATGATTCATCACAACATCAATTTGATGATGGATATAGGCTTAATATTATAGTGATGTAATGTCCTACTTAAACTGCTGGCAGGTTAAAACAACAAATTGGACGTGACTACAATATATACAGTGGCAGTCATATAATGAAGTCGTTTGGATAATTCTAAATACATGTGCATGTACACTGTTTGCACTTCAGTTTGTTAAACACTAATACGAAAACCTGGATGCATTAGTAAGAAATACTGTTAAAATTACTTTCCCGCAAAATCCGTGATGCCCCGAATATCAAAATAAACTGTTGTGGGGCCACGCACAACTTGCCTTCCAGTTTCCAAGTCCCAGTAATTGTATGACCATGACTGTTTGGATGAATCGAAAGAAGTGTAGGCCCTTCCTGATTGCTCAGACAGACGCCAAAGAAGAAAATGTTAGATAGAAGTCCCTCTGTCTTACAGTTACTAATAAAATGATTCCACCAGTCCGAATCGCGGATTGGAAGCCCTGGTGACAAAAATGTTTTACAGTATTCTCCATAAATGTCACATGGATCGCACTATTCAAATCCTTATTCCTCTCACCACAGTCAAAAGCCCTCCCGTACCAAAGCACCACACACTGGTCAATATTTTCACTCCAGACCACTCTTGACCAGCACCTGGTTGTACTTGCGCACCTTGTCTGCATCGCCATAAACAAAATGCTGCGTCATGTCAGGGCTGAACTTGGAGGCTGAGGGCTGCCGACCCAAGGTCTCGCTGAGAGTACGCGTGTAGTGTGGGGCGTTGCCGCAACACAGACCGACATACTGAATGCCTAGCTGGAGACACTGGTTACCAAAGGCCACTATGTCGTCTCGAGAGCAGGCGGCGCAGTCCAAGTTGGTCGGGAAGAGTCTCGCACCTATGGATGGCATAATAAGGTATACGTCACAGGTACCACTGTCAAGGTAATGTTCCTTTGATACATAATAAACAAAACAGAACAAGAAAAATGAAATTAACGTATAGTCATTGCTTTTCAAGCAGTCACTTAAAATCATTGACTAACTCATACCATCGGATAACCTAGTTATATGAGATGTCCAAGTGATAGCAGAATTAAGAAGGGCAATGGGCCTCCTCTGTTACCATGTATTGATTTGCCATTACGGTATAGCACCAGAAACATCTCCTTGCAACATTCTTTTCACTTTGGGAAGGCTATACTTTTTACTTTCGTGAAAAATTGTTTATTGACAAAGATGGGTCTTTATTGCAGCATACACTGTTTGACACACTTTGGGAGACTTTTGTTACCTGTTCACAGGTCATAAGTGTATTAGCAACGTGGAGTAAGACTAAGAACTACCAGCCCCTTTACGTGTACCTGTTAATGGATCCTTCAGTGCTTGCATATTAGGGGCTGCCTCGGTGGTCCGATAAACGACCGGTAGGGCGGCTACTGGAACCTGACGAACATCAGTCAATGACCAGATTGTTCAACTTGTTGGATTATTGTAAATTTGGTTTACCAGTCCATGTATGGCACTCCGGTCGAAATTTTTATAAAAATTGTTAAAAAGGGAAGACGGTGTTTGACAGGCAATATATCGACTCAAAAACAGTCATTTTTGAAAACTACGTAATGCACTGTTTGAAATTATGTATACAATTAAAACACCTTTTAATGACAACTTTTCAAGAAGAATGCAGGCAACTGAAGTTAGGCATTTGTGTCACAGAAGGCCTCTAAGTAAAGTGATGGTGTCGTTAGTTTTCTGCAAAGGGCCACTGTCAGAACGTGTCATGTTATACACATCTCTGGTTTATTGTCAGAAATATCGAATGCCTGCCGTTTACCTTCAGTACTTTCCTAATCTCTTTCAGCAGAGGTACCGTGGTTTCAGGCCCTCGGGCACAATTGAGGCCCAGAACATCGGCTTCCGCTTCCTCCAACTGCTGGAAAGCAGAGCACATCTCCACGCCGTCCAAGGTGCACACTTTACCGTCAACCACAGTTTGGTAGAAGCACATAGTGATGACGGCGGGGAGGCCTGCAGCGAAACAGAGATGATAAAATCCTGTCACCAAAGACACTGACTATGTCACACCCAAATAATATAACATTTGATAATGTTTAAACTATCCATTCGTTCACAGCCAGTCAAACTTTGCTACAAGTTGGCAACCCTACGTCGGAGACATGGAAAAACAAGGACGGACACAATAATTATAATGGTGTTTTAGTAAAAAATCATCACCGCAGCCTAAAAGGATAAATTGCATTATATCAATTTTTATCATTTCGTAAGATCATTTTTTTGTAAGATCATATTATGATAAAAATAAATAGATTGAGTGACATGAACTTGTTAAATCATTAAGACATACAGTTTGAAGAGACAAAAAATACTAATAAACTTCCACATCTCATGAAAGGAACCCATAACACCAACTAATCTAGCTGTTATTCAACAGCCTCACGAGAGATAAAAATAGGACAAGTTTTAAACCTCTCTGTTTTGCAAATAACATTGGCAGATGGACAGGGCAGGTTTTATCTCTGTTGCAAAGCATGTGCGCAAGATGGAACATTATTGTGGGAATTATGACGAGTTCACAGTATGCGAGGCCTTGAGCAGAAGCATCCCGTCGCCGGTTGAAAAGAGCCATGTTGGTGGAGACTGTTCATTTGGTTGATAGCGAAGTGAACCACCAAAATGCATTCTCTACACACAAAGAGCCTCTCTTGCAAAGGAAATAAGCGCCCTCTCTCGGTCCCGCTCGGGGCCAATAGGACAGTGCGTATATCAGTTTTTCACGATTCAAACCTTATCAAAGTTAACGCTCTTCATTGGAATTTAAATCTAGGCCCAGATTTGTATTACTCGCCAAAGTATGTGCATTGCGTCTGGTATCAGTTCCACCCATTTCAGACGCGTGTTATAAGTTACTGAAAGGTACCTTGGCCATATTTCTTGATTGCTTTCAGGGCAATCATAGCCTCCCCTAAACTCCCGAACGACTCGCCCACGATGTAATCAGCGCCCTCCTGCACCGCCCACTCCACTTGCTCCTGTATGCCAGAGGGGTGTTACAGAATATGCATGACAGTTTATGCTCTCAAGAGGTACCGTAAGAGATTCACACTTTAAAGAGTGGAGTTTCACATTATAGGATGGGAAACAAAATTACACGGAAGATCGTCAGTGAAAAATGACCGATCTTATTGAAACGACAGCATGGATTTTGCGTTTCTCTTTAAATTTGGTTATATTTCAGTGTTTATTTATGGAAAATGGTTCCTTGGATGAAAATTTTACAGAGCGAATCACCCGTAATGTAGCCATTTTTTGAGGAACGCGTCAGGGAACAAGTAGTGCTTGTTTGTCTTTGCTACAATATTTAAGGTGCATGGTGCCTTGATAATAAGGGCATCGTTAACTTAATACCACATTGGGTCCAAAGTATATCTGAATTCCCTCATTTCTGATTACACAGGACTCTTGGTGTAAATAGGGACATGAACTTGACTCTTGATGTAAATAGGGACATGAACATCATTTAGGGGTTCGATTGCTTTCAAGAACCTTACTTTAAACATGGCGTCAATTTTTGACACGCAGTCGGGATCGTCCTGGTCGAATACCGTGGTATTGCAGATGTTTCCTGCCATGAGCGAACCGGTTTCGTCGGCCACTTCTCTGGCGATACGTAATGCCTGTCGGTTAATCCGCTCAAGGTCCCCTTCCCGGCCGATACAAGCCAGCTTCTCACGATGAGCGTAATACTGGACATCAAGCCAAAAATGGCAGTGGAACCTCAAATTAGTTGAATTTTAATACCGTGAAAAACTACTCTGAGTATAAAAATGTACATGATAGCATGGCTCGATGTTCCTTCCTTATGACACGACCTTTCTTTGGACATTGGTCTAGGTCTTGTAATAAATCTTGGCATGATAAAAAAAGTGCACTTTAAAGGTGATTGGTTAAATCCCATCATTTTGGCAGCGGGTGAAATGACTTCCACTTTCGGCATTGTGATGGAGGCCCCCTCACGAGTCCCGATCCTCACACAAGCTCTTTCATATACCCCGTTCCTTCACAAGACCAGTTCAAATGAACAGGTCGCGAAATGAACAAAGAATTCTCTTTTTCTTTATTATAACTCATTCAAATATAACACAATTCTAACTTCGCTTGGGAGCGCATGGAGAGCGTCATGGACTTGTGACAGGTCTTTCAGGGACGCGTGACAGACTCAAGCACTGACTTGTGGCAAATTTTCTCTTCCCTCTTTGGAAACCGTTTGTTCTATCATACAAGAAATGAAATAATACTATTACATAGCGGTACCGTGAAGGCAAGGACTACATCACTCCCGGCATGAACAAACTCCCGGTACTGCTGACGGACAAGCTCTGGGTGTTCTAGGACAACCTCTGGAACAAAGGCACCTGCCTTGAGGTACCCACGACGCTCAAACACAAACAGGTATCCCTCAGCGCAGATGACTCGCCCTCCATGGCTCAATCGCTTTAAAAGTCCTGAGATGATATGAATCAGAGAGGGAATATACGTTTCAGATATACACTATGAAGCACTCTACGTCCCGTGTTCATCAAAAGGTCGTCAGAAAAAAAATGTTCTCTAGAGAAATTTGAACCCTGGTAATTTATTTACCACATGTCTTTAAACATCGGGTTTCCCGGAGTCTTTTCCTCACATATCTCCAAAAGCGTGCAGGGTTTCGTTTGTACATAAACATGCATGGTTTGACAGGTTAATGACTGTCTCAATGTGGGGATTTGTGACCTTTTCTGTTCTGAAATTTGACGTTCAATCTCAGTAGCTTGCAATGCCATCCGCCACAAGCCGCAGCACAACTGAAATGTCACCCTTTGATTCATCTATTGAACATGTTTCCAGCGCTCTGATCAGATAACGCAGATTTATAAGGGTAGGCCTATCTCATTCCAAACTGCATATGGATCTCACACCAGCATCATTTCTATATTATACAAGGGAGCTAATTGCATGCGTAATCCAAGACCACACAAGTCTGCCCAAAGATGAAGGCCTCAAAATTTAGACCCATCTACACAGACGAGCAACAAATGCAAGCGTTTAAGGATTGCGATAATTAAACAGCTATATCTGAGCGGTGTTCAAAGACACCGCCCTGAGACAGTATACGTCAAAGGCAATGACTTGATCAGCCAACACAGAAGCGACCGGCGACCATCTTACCATGAAAAGGCTTGCTCGCCTTTGCTAGCCAAATCGCCAGTGGCAGCAATAGTTACGAGAGCGAGCCAACCATCACCTTTGTATTCGACACTGAAAAATGGCCGCTGCTGCGGTCATACAAAAGTACCCTGAGTCCCGATATTTTTCATATCTGACATCTGTGCTACTGTCTGATGATGCTACCAGCTGGCTGACACGGGTGAGTGATTTCCACTCGTACCCTTCCATTCTTTACTGCCATTGTGGAAAATCACTATTATGTTGATTTGCATATCTTGTGTGTAAAAGTACACAATCGAGCTATGCACAATTTCCGCTTTCCATGATTTAACATGCATGGATTCGTGTCGCCAGGCAATACACCATGAACATACTCGATGAGTACTTTTGACGCGTTCTTCTGCAAGTTTCATTCCGTCGGGGGTCGACTAGGCGTTCAACACCTCAGCTCAGTGCGTGGCCCCTACAGGCTCCATGGAAAAACGTAGCTGTAACCCAAGTGTGGCGTTATATCGCCTCCCCAATCGCACAAGCAGTCACTCAGCAACAATTGTTTTAGTCGATGTAGAGCTAACCTCACCTAGTTGCAAGACACTATCGGTACATACTTACCTGCTTTGACAGACATTCTATACAACAGCTAGTTACAGAGCCGCCACTGGAAACACTCTATGAGACTGCATCTTAATCTCTTGTCTAGAGTTAGGTCTAGGTCTTCATTCCATTGGAAATGCGTGGAGACGCGTAGACAATAGACCTAGCCGTAGCGATCTGGAAGCCCATTCCGGACACGGCATGAGACTCGGAAAATGCATGACCTTCATTCACTGCGCATGTCCAGTTACTTGAGGACTCATTGAATTTGCTGTGCATTTTAGGCCCATAAAACATGCTCCGTTTTTACTTTGGAGGCAAATTTACACGGCAGGGTTGCACCCCATTTCTAATATATTCCTTAGAAAAAACTTGTCACGGCCTGACCTTTTCTCTTCTCGACTATTTGGGCTAAATTTCAACACTGACTACATGAGGGTTCAGGATTGAAAGAATGAAAATCAAAGTTCACAATCACTACTGCTGAAATCGAGGACTGTTACCATGACATCGAAAGGTAACATGCATGTTCTACATGTGAACGCAGTCGCTATCGGCTGATGAACATGTACAATGCCACGTACGTGTCAAGGCACACGTAGCACGTACCAGTGTTGTATCCAAGACCTTGATGTCCGAGACCAAGACCGAGACCGAGACCAAGGCATCCGAGACCAAGACCGAGACCTACTCCTTCAAGACCAAGACCAGGACGTCGAGACTGAGACTTTTGCAGGTTGAGACCGAGACCAGGATATCCGAGACCGAGACCAACCATAAACCAATGTTTAAATTTTACCACAAGGTAAATAGGGACAAACATATGGCAGTACAATTAAGTATAAAAGAAATAAAATGAAAACATTAGCATAAACTCACATACACAAATAGTTCAAATATTTGTTAAAGAATATCTCAGTTCGTTTATCAGTGATACTGCTCTTCTTTTACCCTGGTCTGGTCATTTTCAACCCAAGTGTCCCAAGTGATATGATGTGAACATTAAAACAAATGTCCTCAGACTGTTTTTTGTAAGCAAAATACTGAAAAACAAATATCCAAAAAAGATGTACCGTAACGAAACTATTAAAACAACACGTACCACATACAAGACGGAATGAAAGCAGTTTCACACGTGCACGACAGCTTGTTGAGGCTGAACCGCCGTAAAATAATTGCCACGTACTGTGGAGCAGGGTCAGCTTAGTGCAAATAAAACGCCGAGATGATGCCCCGCAGACTAAAACAACTCATAAAAAGTTTACAGGCGAAATCTCACCGACCACTCTTGGGCTTAATTTGGCATTCATTTCATTTCATCTTACACAGTAATATGGTTTTTATCTGAGTTCAGGCTTTCCAAGTGCAAACACTTACTCCCATCCCGTTTAAGACAGATGTTCTATATTGAGTCGCGACGAACCAAATTAAAAGCAAATTTTGAATTAATCACGGAAGAAGTTCGACGTCTGAAACAATTGGAGGCGACCAGGCCTACTACACTAAATCCTGGACAAATCTCTATAGGGTTCCCCTATCAGATGGTGTCAGGTGTTTCCGTGCGCAGCCGGTGCTCCAGCTCTGAGCTGACAACATTGAGCGGGGGGACCTGGGGTGGTTAACTGCCCATCTATTAATACGTGTCCTAACAATGTTGGCCAGGATTGCAGGACATCATTATTCTGATTTTTGGTGTGGACCAGTAATCAAGTCTCTGGGAATACAGCGCTCGGGAACTGATGTTATTCTGATTACAATTAGGCCTCCCTCACTTTCCAGGCCGTGATCTTATCTTGAACACATGTCAGGTAGTATTCATTATCACAGATTTCAGCTAAATAACAAAAATTTGGTGGCATTGGAAATATCTACCAATTCGACTGGAATTACGACATGAATCGTTTTAATGTGACAGACTTTATCTCTACATTAGCTACAGGGCCTTTACCTTCAGGATAATTAAGCCTTGAGTGACCTTGGTTTCCAGGCAGTTTCGGGTCAAAGTCTTTGCCTTGAGACCAAAACCTTTGCTCAAACACTGGCTTGTACTAAGACGGACATATGTGAAATGGCATAAAGGATGGCATAATCATATTGTAAACTTTGAGGCTTCACTGACAACGCATCTTCCATCTTTAGCCGAGTTAGATTTTGACTATCTGACTTTGCAAGTTTTTATTGAAAGGATAAGCTAGAATCAATGTGTTTTAACGCAAACCTTCAAAATGCACCTTTCTGTCTCAGTTAACCTTACTTCCAGCTTTTGTTTCACTATTTTTGAAGGGTGTTTCATCTCCTGTTTTGCTTTCCTGCTGAGGAGTATATCCATGAGCACAACTGTGACGCTTTCCCGGGAAGAAAGCCTCGTAACTGTAACATTGGACTGTACAAATACATGACTGATGAGAAAATGGAAGTGCATTGTATTAAATACGACGAAGCACACTGATGTATTCACATCAACATTTTACACAACTGAAAATGCGACAACTTAAGGTCCACAATGTAGAAAATGTTTTATTATATGACAAGAAAAGTGCTTTTTCAACTACATCTTTACTGAGAAGGAATTGCTGTAAAGAGATTCACAAGACAATGTTTCTGAGGAGCTACACACCGCTTATCAGATCCACAACACAACATGTTATTTAGCAGACCAAATGGGTTCCTCATTGATTTGGGTGTCATTTTACGCTAGTAAAGGAAACGAGAGAAAACTTCCCCCACGAAAAAAAAAAGCAAAGACGGTGTGTCATTCACGTAATAATATGCAAGAGTTTGGACATGTAGACAGGTGTACAGAGGTGGTCCGGGGACTCTCCAGTGTTGATGCGCGTTCGGTGTGAGACCTTGCGTTTTCTAACACCAACGTCGGAAACCCGGACCATGCTCTGGTCACACATATTTTACAGTAAAATGGGATTTTTCTGTCTGAATTAATCCGATGGAAACCCTTTCAGGCAGGCTGTTATTGCATTTTTGGGGGAAAAAGTCCTTTTGGAGGGCGTGGCTCATATTTGGGTGAGGGGGGCACTTTGCACCTTGGACCCATAATAAATGACATTTTCACGCTTCTCTCTGAATACAACACAAGCCAACGGATGTCAAAAGGCACCACAGGATGCGGGTTAGATCATTCTGGTTTTTTTCCTGCCAGACCGCTCTCACATGTCTCAACAGATCTAAATGTGGTCTTAGTCTAGCGCTGCCATGCCCGGCCGGCCTAATAATAACAGGGTTAGACAGAGGGCAATAAACTATCTGTTGTGGCGTCAGCAATACAGCTCCAGACATGCTGCTGATCCCAAACAGTATCTCATTGGTCTAAATTCACTGGCCCGATTCACTAGTACAGTAGGGGAGAGGGTATTTCTTCAAAACCATGAGCAGTGGGTATTGTGTATGCAAACACATGCTACGATATTGGACAGGGGATGTTTCAAGCTGGCTTCAGTGACTGCCTGGGTGATCCCAAGATTGAACCCCCCTCTAAAAGTAGCGGCGGAAGGATTTAGGAAAAGTCACGGGGGCTCGGTTCGGTCATGTGCAGCATTTGGAAAAACAATCAGATCACGTGATTTGTGACCAAATGCTGGTCAACCTCTTTTCAGGGAAGGGATAAAAAAAACAGTAAAGAGAAGCTGCCAGGGAGAACATTAATGTTGACGACTATATAGAGCCCGATAGTTGACCCCTGATGGAAAAATAACAAACAAAAAATGGAGAATTTATTATATTTTTTCGTTCAGTTACTTCTTAAACTCTAACTCGGAAAAGGGCTTTGAAAATGTTTGCTAGTATATCAATTTATGGAAACTGAAAGAACACCTGGCCTAAAAGAGAAATATTCTGCCCAAAATTGACCCATCACTTCCGAAAATATATGAAGAGCAGTCCAATGCGGCAGTCTCAGATGAAAATTTCCGGTTTAAAATTTTATGGTTGTCTGTCGGTAAAGACAAAAGAAAAAAACAAGATCAAATTTTGTCACAGACTTTTTAAATCTACAATGTATATGGTAATAACCTTAAAGCAGTAATCTACTTGTACGAAAGATTCTAATATTTTCTTTAACCTATGCTGACAAGAACTCCGTCATGTCAACTCCACAGAGTCTAAAATCCATCGACTGCAGGTAGGTAAATCTTTGCAACGTTGTACAATCTCGTTTTCACGCAAACAAGGGGAGCGAAAACAAACGTGCATGAACAAGGAGACCTATGTACGATACCGCCGGAAAAAAGGTTGTTGGTAAAATCTGTTCTTTACCCATCTCCTTGTGGCTGTTCTAACTATTGCTTAGTTTCTAACTTTTTCTGTTCCATGGGTGGTTTCAGTTAGGAATCATTCTTCCAAAAAATTTCGAACGTGATAGGACTTGATAGGATGGGATCGCGCGAGGGTTCCGGAGCTTGCTGCGTGACCTTTTACTTTCCTATTCTACTGTTCGTATGAATGTGTATATTTGCTACGTGATGAACTATGGTAGCGTAATCACTCAGTCTTTACGAAGCAACCTTCTTTGCAGTAAGGTCAATGACTTTGCTATCTCCTTAATTCATTT